TCATCATGAGCGCTAGAAGCCGCGCGCTTCAGGATGTCCCTTGGCAGCATGCGCTTGCTAACCATGTGGGCAAATTGTACACGAAGATCACGCTGGTTCAGAATGCGGGACAACAGCTGATCTTCATGGAGTTCCCGTAACTCCGTGGGTGAGTACTTGAGAGACTCAGCCCAAGCCCAAAACATGTCCTCACAAGAACTCCAGGTGGGACAGTTCTCGGGCAGAGCCCAGGGGTAGCCCCAAAGAGGGTAGAGACCACCCCGGCTCTCGGGCTTCTTACGACACGTAGTGAAGTCCTTGAGAGGGATGCGGTGTGGCGCTAGAAGCACACATCGAGCAGCCTCCAAGTTGTCAACGAACAACTGTTCCTTCTGAGCAAGGGTACGCTCGTAAATACCTCTAGAGGTGTTGTCGCCCACGAGGCCACGAGGAGCAACGAGAAGCTACAGAAAGAGGTTAGCCCCAGAGCTCTCCTCGGGAGGCCAATACCCTCGCAAGTTGATGGCAGCTCCCTGGCTGACAGATGCCACCACCGAACCCCCACGCACACGCTGGGCAGCTTGGAAATCTTCCTGCTGCTGGTCGAGGTCATTCGTGATCTCCCGGGGCGCAGAGATAGCACCCTCTTCCTCTTCCACCTCCTTCTCTTCCTCTTCATCCGAGGAGTCGAAGAGGCCCCGATGGGAGTACCGAGTCTCCTTCTCTTCGCGTAGCGGAGACTTAGAAGCTGTACGCTTCTTAGAGGGCTTGGCGCCTTCGGCTTTATGGGGCCTTAGCACGCGCAAGACCCTCGGCAAGCGAGAGACGCTTGCGAGATTTCTCTTCCTCATCGCCACCGGCTTTGGGAGTGTCGTTAGCCTTGATAGCCGGACTCTCAGAGCGCACAGACGTCCTGGGACTGTGATCACCTTGCTCACTAGCGAGCGACTGCACGCTGTCGTCCTTGTGCTCGCTGGGCACTGGGCTGTGCCCTCCCGCAGAGCCCGCATGAGCATCGTGCGTGCTCTCGGACTCGGCTTCGTCCTCACTGCCAGAGTCGAACTCACGTTCAGCGAACCGAGGGTTCGGACGGTTGTCTGGAGAGGCCGAGGGCGACGGGCTGCGGCGCTTGCTTGCTCGCTTGCCCACAGCCACGTCACCCGAGGAACCGATCGCCTCGGAGGCCACCTGAGTAGCCTCCTGAAGTGCCGAGCCTTTGCCGCGAGGCTTAGCGCTCTTGGCTTGTGCCTTTCCGGCAGCAGCCTTGGAGCATGTCTTCGCACCGCTCTTTGCAGTACCACGAGGCATGGTAAACGGTCGAAGTGGACACCAAGAAGAAGAGCGCACAGACTGCTGCTCGAGGCTCTAACTGTGAAGTGAGCCTCCGCCGCGCTCGCGCGGCCAAGTCGATGGTTTTCGACTTTGAGAATGAAAGTTTGTGACGAACACTTCTTCATTCTGATTGATTGGTAAACCGAACCTTAGTGGGGGAGGATGTAACGGGGTACGTAGCCCTAAGTGTACCCCTGGTTACATGAAGTGTGACACGTCACACTGTAGAAGTATGACACGTCATACTCCGGGATATTTGGTACAAGGTACCAAGGTCGTCCAAAGCCAACCATGGCTGGTGACATTGCATTTTTATAGGTGACCTATAGTTTGTATTAAACCCAAGCTTTATCTACCTATAAATAAACTCAGTTTACATTCTACCTTAAATAGGTCACTTCGCTCTCTTTTGTGAACTGCCGTTCACTGAGAGTTTGTTCTCGGAAGCTAACTTCCTCTAGCGCAGGGTGCTGTGTGACGCCGTCACACACATAATTTCGCTATATAATAGCGCATATGAAGAAGGTCTTCAACGAAGCATTGAATACAGCGTAGTGCGTCATTTCAACGCCATACTGTACAGTACAGTATTGTTAGCTTTTTGTGATTGATTTTCTTGTTTGTAACGATATATATATCTGTTAATTTAACAGTGTTAATTGCATCGTCTGGTGTTTATGAGCCCTGATCCAAATGTCCTGTTTATTTTAATAAAAGTAGCTATAGAACGTAGTGTGCTTTCATGTTTTATGAAAAACGAGGATCTTACAGCTTTTTTCATTTGTAAAATGTAAGAGTTCGATACCTACTTTTTTGTTCGCCACACCATTATGGGGTTGAATTAATCCCTATTGGCTGTACGTGCTACACTCCTGGATACAATTATACGGCCATCTCGTCAAGTGCCCATAACTCAGTCAATTTTTATTATTTGACGGTGCGGCTTTCACACAAGTTGCAAAACATGCTTCAAAATAGCAAGGATGTGCTAACGCTCGCGGTTTTGCACTTTATAGGGAGGCTCACATACAAAAAAAGGATTTGTCAGGCTGGACACAATTTACGGCCACCATCGGCCCAATACAAAAACCTATATAAAATAAAACATGTGTCATTTTGGCTGACTAGAAATTTGTATGGGCTGAGTTTGTGAGGGCGATTAAATGGACACTAGAGATCGAGAGCTTAAATTAGTTGCATGGGGGTGTACACAATACTGTTATATGTAACGTGTTGCACTCGCACCTCTGCTTGATAAATTTTGATGGAGAATATTTAAATGTAAGATCGCGACGACTACACGGTGTTCTCCATATGATCTGCTATAGTAAAAAAATGCGGATGGGCTATTGACGCTAGCTAAACGTTCTCCATCAATATTGATCAAGCAGAGGTGCGAGTGCAACACGTTACATTATACTGGTAACAGTATTGTGTACACCCCCATGCTGACTAATTTAAGCTCTCGATCCCAAGTGTCCATTTATTCGCCCTCACAAACTCAGCCCATACGAATTTCATGTCAGCCAAAATGACACATGTTTTATTTTATATAGGTTTTTGTATTGCGCCGATGGTGGCCGTAAATTGTGTCCAGCCTGACAAATCCTTTTTTTGTATGTGAGCCTCCCTATAAAGTGCAAAACCGCGAGCGTTAGCACATCCTTGCTATTTTGAAGCATGTTTTACAAAACTACACGGTGTAGTACACCGTCAAATAATAAAATTGACTGAGTTATGGGCACTCGACGAGATGGCCGTATAATTGAGTCCAGGAGTGTACTAGTCGTAGCACTACATGTACCAGGAATAGTGGAGGTCTACTAAATAATAATAATATGACATAAATTTATTTATCTATACAAGTAATTGTAGCTACATGTATTAATAGGTGAAGAAGCGTTGAATGGCCTAGTACTTATCGATACATTCATACCGGTATAGACAGTTTCAGTATGTATGCCTGTCTGTGTGCCTCCACGTTAGACCTGGAAACGCAAAAGCGAAATATGCATTTATGCTGCATAAAGTATGCTTCTCTGATCTCACCTCGTTCATTTGCGTGATATTGGCGCCTTATACATACCTTCTAGCTCGAGCAATGACCTGTTTACTGAAGACGACCAGGTGGAGGAGTCGTCATTTCAAGTAGGACAGGTTTTACTGCGCAGTTCTGTACCTGTACTGAGTACAAATTGATGCATGACGGCGCAAAGAACGACGGCCGCCGCATCGTAAAGCACCACAAGTTGAAGCACAACGTGTAGGAGTCCTACTAGGATCCGCAAAAGAAGATGGCAGCCGGCGTTCAATGTAGGATCCGCGAAAGAAGGCGGTCAACCTTATGATAGCAGTCACTGACAGTGATTCCAAGTCGAGCAATTACACACGGATAGGCCAGCGATGGGAGTCGACATCACAGGCTGTGATTCACAGCCTCTGCAATCCAGGCCAGGCATCCAGTCCCTAGGTACAGGGGATTTGTCTGACTCAAAGAGTGCAAACATTGCTCGCAGCGAGTCAGCCAGGTCAAATCAACTCGCTGTTCCTGCACGCCGGCGGCGCGACGCCGCGGAACAGCTTCGTGAGACAAATGAAGAGTGCTCTGGTTGACGGTTCGTGTAGTGTCCTTCCAAGGCCTCTGTCCCTTGCGGACAGGTGTGCCGGGGAATTTTCATGCTGAAGATAGCACCTGTTTAAACGTCGAAACGGCCGCTTCGAGAGTTTCAGCATAGTGGATTTCGACGACTGACGTCAGTCGTGTCGCATAAAATTAAGGTCCTAAAATTGGAACGAACGAAATCAGGTCCACTTTTGTCACAAAAGTTTTGTGACCAAGCCTGGTTGTCTTTTTGACACCGAGCTCCGAACGACGCGGCCTCAAGGACTGCCACCGCGTTACTCGCTCGGAGCGAAAGTTTCTCTTCGCCAGGTGGGACCGGAGCTCTCTTTCAGCGCAGCCGCGATATCCGCTGTGAGGCTCTGATTTCTGGATCGCTCTGGCGGCAATCACCGACAAGAAACACGTGCGCGGTAATGCGCTCCGTGCAGCCAAATGTTGGGCAGCCAGACACCTTATAATTTTTAATAAATGGGGCTGGAGAGCTATCGCTTTTGAAGTCATCTTCAATGCGTGGCCACAGGCGTCGGGCCGTCGGCGCGGTTTCAATTCGCTGAGGTACCCACACATCTTTACAATGCTACGTATTTCGACGTGATGGCCTCAGCGACGAGCGAGGCATAAGCTGCAGACTACATTTACATAAGGTGCCATCACTGCTGGTGGCTGACGTCTGGGTAAAAAATTCGTCTGGCAAAAGACTGCAATTGCGCCTCACTCCGAGGCCCGTCTCTGGCGGCGAGCTTTGCGCAGCCATCTCGACCGCAACAGCACGAGCGTACAGTGTTGAAGGCAAATGGCGCGCGCTACTTGCCAAGCCATCGGTGCATGTGCATGTAGCTGTAGCGATATAGTCCCGCGAAGCCATATTGTTCAGAGCCATCACGAGTGTTGCCACAGGTATCTGGTGATACTTTCCTTCACATGTCAGTTCAGAGCTTTGCGTCGCTTCAATGCCAACCTCGGTGATGGTCGTTCTCTGGCCCAATTACTTACGCTGTGTATGGTTGTGAGGCCCTGAAAATGTCTCTGGTTATCCCTTTCGCTTCTCTATAGCCAAAGGAGAGAATCCGCTGGAAACGACGGCCGCCTTGCCACACTCCAACACGCCGCGGCACGCGCACTACTAACAGAGCTTGCAGTAGACCGAAATGGCGTTCGCATCCTCCGTTGAGACCTTGCGGCCATGCATGGGGCCTGTATCGCCCCCTACAGTCACAGCCCCGAAGAGGCGCTCTGGAAGCGCTGGCCCCAACTCCGTCAAGGACCGAACTGTAGTCGTCTTCGACTGGGACGACACGCTGTGCCCCAGCTCCTGGTTGCACGCGCAGGATCTATTGCCCAAGTATCGCGGTCACCAGATCTCCGTTACGCCTGAACAGCGCGAGGTGCTCTCGCTGATCGGCGCGCACGTCGCGCGCCTGCTGCAGAAGGCCGTGGCTTACGGTCCTGTGTTCGTCGTGACCGCCGCCGAGTACGGCTGGGTCGAGATGTCTGCCGCGCTCTACATGCCGGCCGTTCAAAGTGTGCTGGCGCTCTCCGACGTGCACATCGTGTCCGCGCGCAGCTGGTACGAACAGAACTTCGGCCTTGGCGGCGACTCGGCTACCTGGAAGCAGGAGGTCATGCAGCTCATTGCGCGCAAGTGCTTTGCGGCCGCAGCGCAGGGCGCCGGCGCACGAACGAACAGGGAACCCACTGCCCCGCAAGACGCCTATTTTAACCTCCTTTCCATCGGCGACTCGATGGCAGAACGCGATGCGTGCTTCGCGGCCGCCCAGAGCGTGTGTCGCACGTTCGCTAAAACGCTCAAGTTTGTCGAGCACCCGAACGCCGAGGAGGTGCTGCAGCAGGTGGAACTAACGCACGACTCGTTCGAGCAAATGTGCGGTTGGGATAACAACCTCGACCTGCGGCTGTCTCGCGCCCAGTTAGCCGAACTGCGCGGATCGCCTATTTAAACTGGCGCCACCGAGCCGGTTGTGCATGAAACACATCCGTACACTATGCGCACGACCAATGTTAGGATTGTCCACTAGGGACACAACGATTTTTAGACAAGCACTAGCCTCATGTAGAAAGAATACCTCGAGGCATTTTTTATAATAATATGCAAGTTTTATCTCAAGCAACGTAGCGTTCAAAAAATTGCAACAGTTGAGCTCAACAAGACACGCGCTTTTTACATGTACATGCAGGGAACCCGAAAATATAATTTATATCAATTTCAAAGGACATCGAGAAATACATAACGCGCGAACCTAAGAACTCAGCAAATAAATAATTGGAGCGGGGACATTGCAAACGTAAATTATTAGTGAAATAAACTACCAAGCCTGGGTGAAGCCGCCTAAATGCAAGCATCCACGGTGGTGAAAGAAGAGAGTAGGTGTTCCTGAAGTTGCAGAATGAGCTAGAATATGCGATTCGGAGAAGTCGAGATCTCCAAACCAACCACAAACTGTAGGTCCGGGAAAATAAAAGTTGGGTCGTCGTACACCAACTTCGTAAATACATATTTTGCTAAAGCAATTTTCGTAAATAAATTATTGATAGAAACAATAAACAGTAATTGGCAATAAATATATTTATCGGGTTCCCTGTGTACATGTATCGATCCTAGGATCTTAGTGATCCGCTTAGATCATTTGAAGCGTCGCTTTGCGTTGCGAAGCGCAATCTTGCGATGACAGCAAATGCAAACCAGCTCGCAGAACGCCGACGCCTGCGAGTGAGGTCCCCGAGCCTTGCATTATACATCCGGCGGCATCCTATCTGATGTCATAGTACCTTCCGTATGTACATTTGTAGAAACTCGAGAATCAGCGACTGGAAAACGCGGCTCGAGATCGTCTGGAAGAGCTCCGGAGACAACGGGAGGCCGAGCACAAGCGTCTTGAAGACGGTGAGCTGAGAGCATGCCGTACAGTTGGACTTTTTCTCATGTTACCTTCGCTTTCGGTTTGCAGAGCGAATTGCAGAGGAGCAGCGACATCAGCAGGAGTGTGAGGAGATTCGAAGGAAAGAGGCACAGGAGGAAGAACGCATTTCTAGCCTTGAGTACGAGGAACGCCAGGTGATCGCTGGCATTGAAAAGCAGTTGAAACTTGTAGGGGCCTTCTGGACATCGACTCTTCATCAACCAGGAGGTAGAGTGGATGGAGCTCTACCGGTATGTGCTGCGGTGATAACAACGCGAGCCTTAGAGAAACCGATTCTGGGACTGGAAGGTGATGTTATCCTCGTTGCTGATAACACCGCAAAGATCCACGGATTCGATCGTAAAACCAAGGAACTGTTGTTTACTTCATCTTGGAGCTACCAGAAAGATGCGAACCTTTCTTTAGGAACGCCAATGGCAATGGCGGTGACGCGTTGTGGGCGCTTACTAGGTAAGTGAACAGCCTTATGCGCTTCACTACATGCAGAGTTTGAATCTAATTTCGCCAGTGTGTGAGCAGGAGTGCCCTCGCGTCGTCGTCATTGACCTTCGCGTACTTTTCCACTTATACAGGACGTGTCTTCTCGCTAATCAAGTGACTGGCAATCGCTCGTGCAATCTGGACGCATCATCCGCTCGAATAGCTTTTATTGACGGGAAACCACATCTTGCGCGACCTCGCGGCCTTGCGGTAGATGACGTGGCAGGGGAGTTTTATGCTAGCGATGAAGCAAGCAACTGTATCAGGGTGTTCAAACTACCAGCGATTACTGTGGCCAAAAGTGTAGCTCTCGAGCGCAGTATTTCAGGCTCTCACGCTATGGTGTTGAAAAGACCAACAGGGCTAGATCTCTCTCATTACCATGTCGTTGTGTGTGATACTGGTAACTCCCGTTTGGCTGTATTTGCCAAGCGAGGGGCATTCGTACAGGCTATAGGCCGAAAGGGAATCAACGGTGGGGAATTTTACGATCTACGCGATGTCAAGTTGGCCAACGTTCGAAAGGTGCGCTAGAACGGTGAGGACAACAGAAACTACACTTTACTTAGTACTGATTGCGTCTTGGTGTGGCATGGATACAGCGCGCGATCACCCGAGGGGTTCAACATGAAAGTGATGCTGGAGTCGCAAATGAGCAGTTTGAAGCAATTGCAGCGGATTGTGGCAACTATCGCGTGCAAATACTTAACGAACGTGGCGAATTCCTCAGGCAATTATCGTTACTTGGGAGTCTGGAGCAGATTGCTTTCCAACACGACCAGTTTGCGAATCTACGTGCAGAACTTACGAGAGAGTACGCTGCGCTACATAAATCTCCTCCTGGTTTATCTGGTGAACGCATGGATGGCATTTACAGTCTTGCGAAGTTACTACATCCGACGTGCAAACTTTACGCTCGTCTAACGTCTTGCCTAATGGAGTGGCGTGATAAGCGCTCGCGCTTTCATCATCCATTCGCGCTTGCGTATGCTCCATCTGAGAGAGAAATTATAGTAGTCGACCGAGAAAATGCCAGTGCGTACACTTACAACTTCGACGCCGCCGGAAGCACTTGGCTCCAGCTTCCAAAGAACCAGCTTCGAGGCGTTTGTAGCGTGCACAGCTGTCTCCAGCTCAACCTTACCTTTAGCAATCCAGAAGAGCAAAAGGAAGTCTCACTAAAAGAACAATGGCTATACGTGAGTGACCCGGTAGCGCACCGTGTGGCTGTGCTCGACTCTAGCAACCTGACTCTACAGTTCTATATTGGTGCAACCACGTATGGACACCAGGAATTCTGCTCAAATGGCTTTCTTCCAGGAGAGCTGAACCACCCATCATTTCTCGCAGTGTACAGCGTGAATTATGACACTTGTATGTCGACCGCTTCTCAACATTATATAGCAGTTAGCGATAGTGGCAACCACACCGTGTCACAATTTAACGCTCGAGATGGATCTTTCTGCGGTCGTATTGGCGAAGGATATGGTCATTTGGAAGGATTCTTCAACTCACCACAAGGAATTGCGGTTTGGAAAGATCAACTTCTTTTTGTCTGCGACCAATGCAACCATCGCGTTCAAGTTTTCGATCTGATAACGCGCAAATGTTTGCGTGTTTTCGGTCAACTGGGCACGTCGCCTGGTGAATTTAGTTTTCCAACGGGTCTTGCAATTTGTCCTGCACTTCTCGAAACTCCAAAATGCAACTTTGGTCCTCATCGGTCTGATAAACTTGTCGTTGCGGATACTGGCAATTGCCGGGTGCAAGTTCTTGACCTAAATGGCAGCGTGCAACTGGTCCTCGATTCGAAAGCCACTCCATTTGATCTACCAATGTCACCGATGGGAGTTTGGGTGCAGCAACGAAGTGGATACATACTCGTAAGCGACACCGCCAACCTCTGTGTGGCCGTCTTTACGAACACTGGTATATTTCTCTCTGCATTCGGAGCCACAGGGGAGGCGGATACCCGATTTGTCCAGCCTGTTGGTGTGGCGATTGCCCCTGCAGACGCAGGTGTTGAGTTGCTACTTACTGCTGACTCTGGCCGATGTGATGTAAGCAAATTACAGCTACGGCTGCGAGGTTAACAGATACACACCAACTCTATTGTTTTGTTTCTTGCTCGTCGTTAATTCAAGTTGATCTCACTTAGCTCGACATCATCTTCACTATTTGATCCCAACCGCTGCATGCGAGCGGTGGGTGTTGCAGTTGAATCGACAGGAGCGGTGGGAGTGGTATTGCCACTAGCAACATCGTCGAGGGGTGTGTACTGGTTCCTCCACCGCTTCACCAACGTGACGACCACTACGATGCCGATTGCCACATTTGCCACGACTGCTGCAACTAGAAGTACCATAGTAAACGTACTCATCTCACCAATACCACTCGTCGTAGCCACCGCATTGTTGTTTACATCTGACATAGCAGAGTTGTTCGTTCCTCCCAATTGGGACACGTTAAAGTGATCCTCAAGGTTTGTGATGAACTCGGAGATCACAGGAAAATTGGGTGTGCCGACTCCAGAAACCGAGTCCCAGCCAGCAGCAGCGCTGAAAGAGTCATCGCAGGGAGTGTTACCACCACGCGGGGCTCCATTGTTACCGACCACCACATCGTTGAATGCATTGGGGTTCGTCTCCGCCAGATAATAGAGAAGCGGATTGATAAAGCCTAATGGACTCTTGCCAGCATTCAACCGCATATCATTCCATAGCGTCACCATAGCGCCAAGGACTGGTGTGGACGCTGACGTCCCTGACACTGACGATAGACGGCCATTCATATAGACGAGGAAGCCTGCGCCTAGTGCGGCTACGTCTGGATAAGCACGCCCGCTAGCATTGAAGAAGCCCGCAGTGTTTGGGATATTCCGTGTAGCTAAGTATCTCTCGACAGATGTGCGCTGGTACTCTGGCATGGCGTAGATGTTGGAGAATCCGCCACCAGAAGTGATAATCCCTCCATTCTCGACACTACAGATCACCTCTTCTTTTGTATGAAAGAATGACTTTGCTGCTTGCTGTGCTTTTGTTAATAGCATCGTGGCGCCCACCGTAGTGATGTACGGACTTGAGGACGGCCACTGCGGGCCACTCTTCTTGCACATTTCCTCGACTGGCACCTTCTCGAACTCAGGACGTAGGCCAGTAACACCATCGTCACCGCCGGCAATGAGAACTGTAATTCCACGCAGACCCATCTTGATAAGAAGCGTGTCCAGGGTACGTGCATATCCTGGCGAGACATCGAAGATATGCTCTTCGTCGTCCGAGTAGCTGATCGAGACGACGAGTGGAGGGTTTTCCAATGCTAGGACGTCCTGCACAAACTCGACAAACGGCTCATCCTCCGACGAGTACGGATTGCTGCCGTTCATGGTCCATACAAACGTCGTAGCGTTACGACCAACTCCTGTGATGTACTGCACGTCCAGTGATGCCTCCGTACTCGCGTGTTCGGGGTTATTGACCCGACTTCCTTTTTCAATGATAGGTGGCGGGTTCTCACCTGGCAAGTACTGGGAGAAGAAGGTTTTCAGGTCTGCGGGATCGTACGATTCATCATAGAACGACGGCACGCATTGCGTGTTGCTTGGGTTGGTCACCACGAGGTTGTCCGGGATACCGTACGTCTGTCGAACTTGAGCCAAAGTCCCCCCTCCATTATTTGTCGATTCCGCCGTCTCTGATGTCGCAGCCCCCAGCGCTCGCAGCCCCAGTGGATGTGCATTTACGCTCAGAAATGATACAAAGTCCTGCAGGTGCTCCGGCACTGACACATCAGTTGCTGCTCGCATCAGTCTTCGACGCTTCCTGGTGGGGGCACTGTTCGTTTTCTGTGCCTCGTAGTGGTAGATCTGCGTGTTTAATAGTCGCTCAGCGTGCTTCACCTTCATCGGTATTTTGAAAAGGTTTGAGGTGGTTGAAAATGCCCCTGCGTTGTTTTCGTGTGCGAATTCTCTGACCCAGTGGCGCACTGCACCAAGTGCACCATGAGCTGGCCGAGAGAGATGATCTGTTTGCTCCTGAGTGAGATATTGGCCGTACGTAGTGTGTCTTCAGTTCACAAACAACAGTAAATTGGATGGTATCGTCAGTACTCTCTAGCCAGTATTAGCAACCACATACTCGACAATGCCGATTGCACGTACGCTGGGTCGGAGACACGATAGAATACTCGCTCCATCCCGTTGAAGTCGTCTGGGTGCAGTCCGATGACCAGTGGCACCACTTGCTCGGGATCAACGCGACTCTGACGGACGTAGCGGTCACTGGAGAATCCGCTGAAGCGCGAGGGGGGCTCGTACGTGGCGGCTATAGTGCCCCCGGAGAGGGAGCACAGCACCACCGCCAACGAGAGCAGCCACAAGCCCGACATATCAAGAGTGCGCCACGTACGGTACAGAGGTAAGTGAGGCAGAGGTGACGATTTGATGAAAGTTAAGATCATTTTTAGCTTTTGGTTTACCTTGATTAAACTAAGTGACAAAACGTGAAATGTTGAAGTGGCCCGATGTCGTAAATATGGGGCCATTCTAGTACCGCTGGAGGCTCTAACATTTGGGGTCAAAGGAGCTAAAGCTGCTACTTCGTACATAATACATGTAGTACAATTCACGTTGGCAGCACACGTATAGCGCAAACTCGGGTTTCTGCCAGAAACTTTCTGGGCCACAAGTTGCGCCGAATATCCTTAAATATTTATTGCTGTAATAGAAGCCTTGGCATGGTCAACATCGACCAGCTGCGTAGGGCTACCGTAGCTTCTACAGTATACTCTTAAGTCATCTAGACAGGTCCTTCTGTCCTGTGACTCACAACCTGTGAGCACAATAATGCCAACTAACGTTAAAGTTCTTGTAGAGTTGTGCACGATGATTGGCTAATTCTGGAAATGTCATTTGAATCATTCCCTTGACGATGCTGAAGTCTGTCCCGTTCGTGCCGCCAGCGTGGGCATCTGCGCTGCGTAGCCCCCCTGGGCAAAAGCTTCATCTGGGTCATTTCCCGACACCCATTCTTCCCTTCTCGCCGCCGGGTTTGCCTGATGGTGTGCGCATGCTCATCAAGCGCGACGACTTCAGCGGAATGGAAACGTCGGGCAACAAGATACGCAAACTTGAATTCCTACTAGCGGAGGCGCTGGAGCAAAAAGCGGACTGTATCGTTACGTGCGGGGGCATGCAGAGTAACCATTGCAGAGCCACTGCTGCCGTCGCAAGGATGCTCGGGTTGGATTCGTATCTGCTGCTACGCACTAACAAGCCTGACGAGGACCCAGGACTGGTGGGCAATGTGCTGTTCGACCGGTAATGATGCTGAGAGAGTGTTTCCGACCGGGGTGGAGGATTACCGCTATTGCTGTGATATATAGTATGTTGGACGCCAACCTCATCCAAATGTCTCGTCAGGAGTACGGCAAATGCGGCAGTGAAGCTATGATTAAGGTGAGTGGCCTTAGTTGATGGTTGTATCATCTCGCAATGCTAACCAATCTGCTATGCTGTGCTTCTTAGCGCACTTGTGACCGACTACGGAACGAAGGACGTCGTCCGTACGCGATTCCGGTCGGTGGGAGCAATGGTCTCGGCACGTGGGGATACATTCAAGCCATTGACGAAATCAATCACCAAATTAAGGTTTGTGTTGAAAAAATTCGGCTGGGGGCACTGAGACGAACAAAATTCAAACCTGAATATTCGATCCGTGTGAAAATAAAAGGATCTCAATCTCCCAGTCACGGATATTGCGTTTGCTTGCGGAAGCGGAGGAACAGCTACTGGTATTGGGCTGGGGTCGTATCTGTACGCTGAGGCCCACCCAGATGCAGCTCTAAACTTTGACACGAAGACTCCTGGTACGGCATTTGTGAACCTTACTCGTATCGGATACATTCGCTCAAATGTGGGTTTAATACGTGTGCTTTGTCGTGGCAATTTAGCGCACGCGTATATTGTTTGCGACAGCGACGAGTATTTTCACGGCCACATCGACGGTCAGATCCTGCCCGCCATGGGAGCACCGTCCGACATTTTGTCGAGGCAGTTTCTCCAGATCACCAACGCGCAGGGCACCGGCTACGCTCGCAGCACGAAGAAGGAGCTTGAGTTCATCTACAGTGTGAGTCGCAAGACCGGTGTGTTAATGGACCCCGTTTACTCCGGCAAGGCGCTCTTCCACCTTATTCGCGAATTGAACGAAGCGCCAGAGGTAAGAAGCGTTAGGAAAATACAGCCTTCGCTGCCGGTGCTAACCACCAATGTTGTTGTGTGCTTTCAGAAATTTGTGGGGAAGACTATCCTGTTCGTGCACACAGGCGGCCAGTTCGGTATGTTTGACAAGGTAGACGCGCTGCAAGAGGTCATTCGCCAAGACCAGGTGTCGCGCTTTGTGATGGAGTAGCCCAGAACCTCTTCCTCGTACCCATGGCTACGTACATGCAATGAAATACCCAAAACCACAATGAATGTCGCTCCTCCCATGTATGGTTGCCTCCTGCTGCGTCCGACCTTATTTTTTTACCCATTTCACCTTCGCAAGACTGTGCCCACGGCGCTGATTGTGGGATGAATAATATGCAATTTTCTGCTTCGATTGCTATAATATAGCAGATTGAGCACAAATTTCTGCTTTATTTATATAATATAAATAAAGCAGAAATTTGTGCTCAATCTGCCTTCTCGTGCGCAATCGCAGTATGCTCTTTTGCCATCGTCCAATCCACAGTTTGGACTTCGAACTGAAGGAGATGTGCTCAAAAAGCCTCTTACAAAAATTTATATGTTTGCAAATTGAAGTGGCGACACAGCCCTGTTTTTGTCCTCTCTGGACTGTGGTGACGCGCACCTTGAGCAGTCGCATCCCAATTGCCAAGTGCAAGTGCCCATGACGGAGCTTCCCTGACGCCGCGCGGCCTCCGCATGGGCTCACTTCTCAATTCTCCACGATGCTGGCAACCAAGAAGTGCGTGACGATCTACTCCTGCTTCTTCTCCATTGCCTAGCTGCTCGCTGACGCTGTGTGTGCGTTTTACAGACTGCAGACTGCTGGACTGACTCGCGCATTGGCCAAGCGTGGTCTTCGCTTTGCAAGCTCCGTATCGACCGATGATACGCCGTACTATGATGTGGTAGTCGCGGGTGGAGGCGTCATGGGCTTCTCCACCGCCTACCACCTTGTCACCGCCGCTCCCAACCTCAAGATCGCTGTGGTGGAGAAGGATCCCTGCGTACGTCAGTGCTGCTCTTTGTTATATGTTGCACGCGACTAACTCTGTCGCTCCGGTGATGCAGTACAAATACGCATCGGCTATACTATCGGCTGGCGGCATCCGCCACCAATTCTCGGAGACGGAGAATATCCAGATGAGCCTTTACGGCACTGAGTTCTTGAGCAACATTGGCACCAACATGAAGGTGGACGGTCATGACGCTCCCGACGTGCAATTCGTCGAAGGTGGCTACATGTTCTTGGCCAGTGAACGCGGTTTAGATGTGCTTCACCAGAACTACGCGACGCAAAAGGCCACGGGTGCCGACGTGCAGTTGCTTGACCCTGTGGCTCTCAAGAAGCGCTTCCCGTGGATCAACACGGACGGTGTCGAGCAAGCCATTTTGGGCATGAAGGACCAGGGATGGTTCGACCCCTGGGCTTTCCTCAATGCCATGAAACGAAAGAGTGTTGCTTTGGGTGTGGATGTGCTGGAAGGCGAAGTTAAACACTTTGATCTGGGGGGACAGAACCAGATTGAAAAAGTGCACATTGAGGTCACGAACTCGCCTGAATGTGGTGACATGCGCTTCAACTCAGTTCGTGCTGGTGTTGTCGTGAACGCAGCGGGATGCTGGTCGAGTAAGCTGTTGGAGGCTTGTGGTAGCTTCGACTACCCGGTTAAACCTCGCAAGCGCTCCATGTTCGCCTTCCACTGCGACGCCGAAGAAATCTGGAAGGGAGATGCCGCGACGCCGCTTGTAGTGGACCCCAATGGCGTTTACTTTCGACGTGAGGGAGCTGGTGGTCGATTCGTCTGTGGTTGGTCTCCTGAGCCTGAGGATGACTACGATGGACAGTCCACAGACGAGTTAGATTTCCCGGATCACGACCATTTCGAGGATCAGATCTGGCCTACTATTGCCCACCGTGTCAAGAGCTTCGAGGCTATCAAGGTTCTTAGTGCATGGGCAGGATACTACGACTACAACACTCTCGACCAGAACGCTATCATCGGCCTGCACCCGGACGTCCCTAACATGTACCTTGTCAATGGATTCAGCGGACACGGTCTGCAGCAATCACCTGCTGCCGGTCGTGCAATTTCCGAGCTGGTCCTCCATGACGAATTCAAGACTATCGACTGCTCTCGCTTCAGCTTTGACCGTGTGCGTGCTAACGAGCCGTTTTTAGAGCAAGGAATCGTGTAGATGAACGTGCGTGATCGCGACGATGTTGTTCTCCTCTTTTTTGCAGTATCCACAATAAAGTCCGAGATTTTTTAATGGCGATAGATACATAATGAAGTTTTCGACTTGCTAGCATCCTGAGGCAATGACCAGGCGTTGCTTTGAGTAGCTCCGTTGAGCTCTTGGACTTCGGTGAGCCTAGCGTTCACTGCATAAATTACTTGCAAGTACCCAGATACCTCTTTTCGTCGTAGCTGTGCCAGTTCCTCGGCACAGCGCTTACCGTCACGAAGCTGCTGGGTGCGACGTATGAGTTTTGCCTCCCGTTCACGAGCTGATTGCTTGAATTGCGTGGCCAGCAGCTCATTTTTATCTAAAAGGTCTGCGAACTCGGTTTTGAGAGCTAATAACTCCTCGGTACGTTCCTCCATAACTTCCTTGGCTTTGCGTGCTGCCAGCACCGCCGCGTCCCGTTCTTTGACAGCCGCCTCTTCTCGTTGTGCGTGTAATTTGCAATCACTAGTAGCTTGTTGCAATTTTAACGCTGTGCGGTGCTGTTTGTTCCCCCAGCTTTTTTCCTTTAGGCGATCCAGCTCCTGCTGCTCTAGCGAACGTGATGTTTTACTCGTAGCCGCAGCGAGCTGTTCCTGTAGCGCCGTCTTTTCTTCCCTCGTCTTCTGCAGCATTTCCTCAAGTTTCTCGATTTTTTGACGAAACCCACTCACTGCAACCTCCACATCTATCGACATTTGTCGAGCATTGTCTAGTTCCTGTTTGAGAGCTCCCACTTTTACTTCATGTTCTCGTGCGATCTGCTGCCACAGTTCTCGTACACGTTTAGCGTCGCTCTCTGTGCGTTGTACGAGCTGATCTCGATCTGCTTTAAGCTTTTGGATCTCATCCGCAGCTAATTCAGCTTCTGCCATGGCAATTTCCTTCTTCTCTAGCTCCTTCTTCCACTTGGTCTCCATGGTTTTAAGCTCTGCGGCCAGCGTCGTGTTCTTCTGTGTAGCGGCGTTCCTGCCCAGTACTGCCATCTTGTGCATGGCCACCTCGTCCTCCAGCTCCTTTTCCAGCGCCATCTGCTTGTCACGAGCCTGCTGCGCTGCTTGGGTGCAGCGTTGCTGCACGTGACGCAACTCCAGTTCGCGCAGTTGCGCCTCGTTTTCTAGTGTGGATCGAGCAGTGCGTTCCTGCGCTAGTCGACGCGTCAGCTCTTCCACCTCTATACGTAGAGCATCCCGCTCGCCTTGCAGCCTTCGTGTTAGCTCCGGCAAGCTTCCGGACGCCGGAGTGGGCGACGGTGGGGCAGCTTCGTCCATTTTGACACTGCGGCGCCAACTTTTGAATTTGAATTTTGGATCACCAAAATGGTAGCTAAGTCGATATAGATACATTACATTGGTTTGTAGAGGTCGCTCCGCTACAGTGCAAGCGTAGCAGTTAACAATGGTTCAGCACCGCGTCACGGCACCTCGGTCCGCTGGCTACGCTGTAATAGGCAGCAATGCATTGCACCTGAAGGAGAGACATCAATGGAGATCTTTTAGCGGTGTGCAGGCCTGGATCTGCGGACTCAGTGCGTTGTCGGGATTTCTATTTGGCTATGACTTGTGCGTCATGGTGGTGGCGTTGCCACTCATCCAGCAGGTGACCAATGCTTCAGTGAGTGATCTTATAGCGTTGAATCGTTATTAAGGCTAGTGTTTTTGTCGCTGTATCATTTAGGATTTTGCACTCTCGGCCACTTCGGCACAGAGTATCGTGAGTACGCTCATGCTTGGCGCTGTGATCGGGTCGCTTGTGGGTGGCGTCGTTGCGGATTGGTACGAGCATCACAGAAAGCCCTTACCATGCTGCACTCATGCTGATAGCCTTGTGACTGTAATTTATGCAGGGTTGGACGCAAACCCGCGAACTTGATCACTGCCGCACTCTTCTTATCGGGATCGCTGTTCATGACTTTTGCCGGGTCACTACAGACAATGCTGGTTGGCCGATTCGTTGCGGGTCTAGCTGTCGGAAGCAGCGGACCTTGCGTCTCAACGTACGTGGCTGAAATTGCCCAGCCAAAGACTCGTGGTGCGTTGGTGACAATCAGCGAGGTGCGTTCGGAAGACATCTACTTCTCCCTCTGCAAACTGGATGGCGGCTAACAATGCCGCGGTTGGATGAATCAGGTTATGGTATGCTTCGGTTGCCTTGTATCCGTCGTTGTAAGCTCTTCTCTACAAGGCAGTAAGGTACTATCGGAGCAAAACTGGATGTGTTCAATGCCTAATGAGATGATGGCTAACTCATCAGTGTATCTGGATAGGATGACTGGCGAAAGATGCTTGGCATGACCCTCTTCCCCCCAATTGTGCAATTGGTACCCACTTGTTTATCACTTGTACTCATACTGAGCTGTCCGAGCTAATCCGTACCTTCTTCTAATGTCCAGGTTGGGATGCCATTCCTGCCAGAATCCCCTCGATGGTTAATTTCGGTTAGTTCGAATGGAGAAATTAGGATAAACAGGCAATCTAACTCTCCTTCTGTCTCCAGAAATATCGGACGAAGGAAGCAAGTGCTGTTCTTAAACGATTGCTTTACAGCGAAGAAGCATCGCAAGAGATCATCCGAGCACACCTGGACATTGGGGTGCGTTTGTGCCGGAGGAACGATGATTCTGCTGCTTTTAATGTGGATTTGAGTGCATGTACAGACATTCCATGAAAGCTTTATTCACGCAATGAGCGAACTTGTGACGGACGGGCTAACTCGAAAGTACGTGCAATGGGTTGGTGGCAAGTTGTATCGCTCTCATCGAAGTGATTTCGTATCCGTAGACGCGTACTGTTCTGCGTCACCATCGCATTCTGCCACATCTTGACGGCAGCGAATGCGATGCTGTATTATTCGAGCTACATCCTCGATGGACTGCAAATGGAAAATGCCCATCAGGTCTCCTCCCTTAGCAAGGAGATTTGGGTTGGCATTGCCAAGCTTGCAGGCGTTTGTTCAGCTGTTGCTGTGGTGGACCGCGTTGGTCGTCGCCACCTCCTGATCATCGGAACTAGCTTGATGCTGATCTGCCACTTCATTTTCGCCGTTTGCTTTTGGACCCTCAGCTCGACACACTCGGAAACTGTGCAGACGATCGGCGAATGGAACCTCTATGTGTTCATCTTCGCCTGGAATCTGAGCTGGGCTCCATTGATGTGGGTCGTGTGCTCGGAGATTCTGCCGGACGAATTCCGCTCCATTGGGATGGGTCTTACGTTTGGCACGTTCTGGCTGGGCAGTGCACTAGTCAACCAGACGCTTCTCTCGGTTTTCCACGCCTTTGGGACTGGAAACGCCTTCCTGCTTTACAGTGCACTTACAGCTACTTCGCTTGGTTTCGTTTACTTCAAGGTTCGTTGGGAGCTTCATCTTTTTATGGTGTTGCAGCTAATGACGCTTACTTGTAGGTTCCAGAAACTACCGGGCTCACGTTCGAGCAGATTGCCATGCTCTTCAACGAGCAGACGGCCAATGCTCCTCTAGTCAACGCAGTGTAGATAAAATACTGGAGCGTGGATATATAACTTGCAAATCAAATCACTCAGCTAACTTCATACTTTACTTTCCCTTCAAATGGAAACGGTAAAGTTGGAAGATGGCGGGCTGTCGACAGCGCAGCAGCAGCTCGAGGAACTCGAATGCATGCTCAGCATGTTTCCTAATAGCGACGAGCTGAAGGTCGATGAGGCAGCTGAATCAGCACTCGAGGAGTTTGTCGCTGAGAGCAATAGAACCGACAAACTCTCACGTCCTGCAAGCCAAATCCACTACACTCTTTACTACAAGGTGCTCAGCTGTATTCCTACTGATGACAAACTTGCCACTGATTCGTATTCCACCTCGTGCTTTGCAGGATCTAGCTTTTGGTCGTGATGTGCCATCTTTGACGCTCGCGTGTCCTCTAGGATACCCAAAAGCCGACCCAATGCTGTTCGAGGTGAACTGCCCTCAGCTGTCACGTGCCGAGATGGAACGCTTGAACACTGAGCTAGAAGAGCTGACAACTGCTGCATGTAACAACCAAGAAGTGGCGGGACTGCAGCTATATCAGTTGATGCACGAATTTCTAACGCAAGTAGAGGCTAATAGCTCTACAGTCGACGTACAAAGCACAGCAGCCGCTGCCGAAGAAACGTCAACGCCCGTGACATTAGGTCGACGCGCTATTTACTTCCACCACATAATTGCGTCCAACAAGCGGCGAGTTGTAAAGGAATGGGCGTCCGAACTACAGCTTGGTGGGTTTAGCAAGATTGGCTGGCCAGGCGTCGTGATCGTCGAAGGACTCGAGCCCAACGTTCAGGAATATGTGCGTCGACTGCAGCATTTACGATGGAAACATATTACTGTACGTGGAAAGCAAACAGAGGAGCTAGAAGAGGGTAGTTCAGGAGACATCGACTCTTTGAGGAGACTACCACGCAGCTTTCATGAATACCCCGAGAATGGCATGTCGGACTTGGCCACAGCGTGTCGAGATGCCGGATTGGAGGAACTTTTCCTTACGACAATGAAAATCTACGGCAGGTCAGAAGGCAAGGAGGCTCTTGACAAGGAGAAAGGCAAATGAAAAATCGAGGGCTCTATGAGGGGTCAAACTTACACTCGCTGCTTCTTGGTGTTCCCAGTGACAACAGCCTTGCCACGCTTCCGTGGCTGTTTGGTCTTCACTTCCTCTTCTTCCCCTTCGCTATCGCTGTCCGTCTTCTCAGCAACCGAGTCACTTTCACCAATCGGCAGTAAGCTCTTCATGGTCACGATACTAAAGTCCACGAGGTAAGACTTCTGCAGCATACGATCAATACGCTGAAAGTGACGCTCGCTGTAGGCAATCAGCGCCTCCACTGTCTTGGCAGCACCTTCCAGCGATTTCAGGCGACTGGGAGGCACTTCACGCAGAATCGTGCTCACCAGTACTTGACAGACACTCGTGTTACGAGCGTTCGTGTTCCAGTCCCGTAGCCACTCCATGAGCGTCGTGAGTTGTTCATCTTCCAGACTCAGTACCACCGGCGCAAAGATGTCCTCGGGCGAAAAGTTGTCGGGATCAATAGGCTTACCTCCCGGGAGAACAGGCTGGTCCTTGTGTCGCGGTCCTTCAAGCAGGTCACGGAAAATCTGTAGCATGCGGTTCGGGTGGTTGAGCTCGAATGCGAGCTGCACGGCTTCCAGCAGCTTGTTGTTACGGAGACAGTTGAAGAGTTCCTGTTCCTTCAGTAGCTTGGCGTCTCTGTCGTCTTGTTGCGCACGCTCCTCTTCTTCCGTGAAGTCTTGCCAGAGATTGATAGTCGAGTCGGCACCACCGCTAACCATCTCGGAACTGTCCTTGGCAACAGCTAGAGCCCAGATCTTGTCCTCGTGATTGTCCAGCGTTGCTTCGCACTCGTTGCTCTTGATGGTCCAGAGCTTAACTAGTCCGTCAGCACCGGCAGACAGGAGCTGCATACCAGCACAAGCAAACTGCACATTCAGCACAGACGCAGTGTGGCCTTCGAACGTTTTCAAGCACGAAAAGTCCTTGGCAGACCACACTTTCACAGTCTTGTCACCACTGGCAGATGCAAGGCACTGGTCGACGGGGGAAAACTCCACAGCCCAGACACCGCGTTTGTGGCCTCGACACACACCAGCCAGCGTCAAAATACGACCGGCACCAGCTTGTTGCGAGTGCCACACCTTGATGAGTTTATCCTGGGACGCACTGGCAATGAAGCGGTCGTTCGGCGCCACAGCGAGAGCGTTCACGTCCTTGTCGTGAGCTTTAACAGCACCAAGCGTAGAAATGGTCAGCTCTGTCGATGCAGGCTTGGCAGGAGTAGCGTACGCGCCAGCAAGCGGCTGCAGACTCCACATCTTGAGCGTCTTGTCCGAGCTACCGGTAACAAAAAAAGCAGCGCCAGTGGCGAAGCTAGAAGCACGCTGTGAGATGGCAACAGCGCCGAGAGCCTCTGTGTGGCCCGCACAAGTAGCCACACAGCGTGGCAAAGTCTTGCCCATCTTCTTGCCACCAGTAGGTCGTAAGTCCCAAAGTCTAGCAGTGCGATCTTTGGAAGCACTCACAAGCCAGCGTCCATCTGGAGATACCGCCAAAGCCATGACAATATCTGTGTGACCTGAAAGAAGTTCGCACGACAACGTGCTACGGTTCAGAAGACGGATCTGTTCGCTGTTGGTGGCCACAGCGAGCACATCCGACGGTTCTCCACTCGCGTCAGCCTTCGGGATGTACTTGAGGTTGAGGATATCGTCGTTATAGCCGATAATCTGCGTCCGACGAGTCAGTTTCTCGTCGAATACCAGGAAATTCTGCTCGGAAGACACGATCACAACCTCGCGGCGGGTAGTACTCAGCAGTAGATCCTTGTAAGTAAGCGCTGACGAGGCATCCGACTTCTGCGTGAACAGCGTCTCGCACGTACTGCCACTGCTACGCCAAAGCCGCAACGCGCCCTTGTCTCCAGCAGTCAAGAAGTGAATTGCCTTGTCATCCTGAGACTTGTTACTTGTGATGCATTTGAAAGTCGACGGCACCACTACGAGACCTTCTACTGCTTCATGCACCAGCACCGTCTTGCTGAGCTTCTGATCTCTTAAATCCCAAAAGTTGACCACCTTGTCACGCCCAGCAGACAACATAGTGTAGCCATCTTCCGAGAATGCCACGCTGGTCACCAGACTCATGTGGTCCTGGATGCACGCCACTTGCTTCTGCGTGTACAAGTCCCAGACACGCACAGTGGCGTCATCACTGGCCGACACGAGAGATAGTCGAGCTGCATCAGGGTGGAACTGCACGAGCGTTACAATACCCGCATGGCCGCGGAAGTTGTGTGTGCAGAAGCCCTTGTCAACGTCGAAGACTTTGACTGTGCGGTCGCTACCACCAGTGGCTAGCAGCGTACCCGACGGGTCAAAGCCCATTGCCAGCACCGGTGTTTCATGGGCCTTGATAGTGCGCACGCATTTAAACGTGTCCAGATCCCACACGCGCAGCAGCAGGTTACGACCAGCAGTCACAAGCTGATTCTTCTTCCCCGGCCGTACAGTGAATACCACGAACGACTCCTTTGCCTCCTCGTCCTCTACGTCTTGTTGCAAAGTGCGCTGAAGCTCTCCGGTCTCAGCGTCGATGATGGCCACGTCGTCGTGCAGCATACAGGCCATTAGCGCGCGAGGCTCTGAGTCAGCGCTAGTGCGGCCATTGAAGAGCTCCACCTTGCCGCCTGTATACACGCCCGCGTGGCTTTTAACGGTGCGCCAGCTCTTGGAGAGACCCAAGCGGGTCGAATAGCTACCGGCCACACCAGCAGAAGCCTGCGCCGAGTCCGTGGAGCTTTTCATCGTCGGCAAACGTTGCAATGCACCAGTATTTGACTGGAGCGGAAACGTTAAATGAGGTGAAAATGTAGCCACATAAATTTGAGGTTAATCATCTATTGCAAAATTTGCATTACCGTTACTTCATTCTATTTCGATCTTTGACAAGGCATGGAATCGGAGACACACGCGGCGGTGAAGGCTGGCGACGTGACCAAGCTCCATAATCTGCTAGAGAGTGACTATAATTTGGACGTTAAGGATGAGGACGAGCGCACGCCATTGCATTGGGCCTGTGCGACAGGGCGTCTAGACGTGGCAGAGTTCCTCCTGGAACGTGCGAAGACCACTGTAAATGTGCAGGACGACGCCGGGTGGACACCGCTCATGAGCGCTGCATCTGCAGGCCACGGAGATATCGTTGGTCTTTTGCTGAGCAAGTAAGTGCTGGCTCAAAAGCTACTGTATGTCGTATTTTTGGTCTTTAATTGATGCGCCCATCGATGTTTCTCAGAGGTGCAGATGCGAACCTCCCCAATGAAAACGGACAGATCCCGTTGCACTATTATCGAGGTATGCTGCGAGCATAGCTACCCAGATGAGCAATTAGGTGTAGAATCGTTGCTGATAGCTAATCCGTGTTGCTGGAATACAGGACGTCAAGAGATCGCCGAGTTATTACTGGACTATACTCGTGACGTCAACCAAGCGGTGCGATGAGCGTACACTTACCAGATCACTGTGGTCGCACTAACTGTTCTACTACGTGGTGTGTTTTAATGCGGCAGGATAATACGGGCAGTACCCCGCTGATGCGTGCTATTGGAGGCAAACCAAGTCCAGGTTCGCTTTATTTGTACATTGCTGCCAAAAATGTTTTTTAAAGCTCAGCAAACGGTGTTTTTCTGTTTTTTTGCTATGCGGTTCTACAGTGATCATTGCTCTTCTTCTTGATCATGGTGCAAAAGTCAACACTCGCGATGTCGGAGGCAACACCCCTCTGCACTTGGCAATCACAGAAGGCTACGAGGATATCGCACGTTTCTTACTGGAGAATGGAGCAAACCCGAACGCTAAAAACCATGACGAGGAGATCTAGCAAAAACTGCTTTCCGAGCTGAAATTCAGATGCTCGTGGCCAAGAAAAAGGGGGTGAGCCACCCGTAACAAGTTATACCCAATGTGCAGCCCGGAAAACTCTGTTATCACAAAGCAAAAAATTGGGAAAACTGTATTGATCTCATTTACTTAAGTACACCCATTGAACCACTCATTGTGTTGTTCAAGCTCGAATGTTGTTAGTAGTCGTCATCCGATCCAGTGAGGTCGAGATCAGGAATGTTAACCAAGATCAGGATTGATGCATGGCAGTAGATTCTCTTCCAAGCCAATTCGATCTTCTCATTCCAGTCGTCCGCATGTAAGTCGCATCGCTTGAATGAGCGAGTCTCCGAGTGGGTCAAAATCGTCTGGTTTCACTCCAATCTTGAGATGTACCAGTGCGAGATTCATCACCTTCTAGGCGAGATCCTCTGATGACAAGAGCGACTTCATACCGCTGCTGATATGCACGATCACGCGGCTCTGAATCTGAACCGAGGCTTGGAAAAGAGGTTTCATGTGCGGATAGTTCTCGAAGAGATACCTGTAAAAGTTCTCATAAAGAAGCCCAATCTTGGTGCCGGACCCAACAGCGTGGTGAGCGTCGGTCTGGATGTTTTCCTTGAAGACTCGCTCCCAGTGCTCGAAAGCTACCAGTCGATCAGCATTTGTCGGATGGTTCAGTGACTGGAAAGTGAGGCATGTAACGCTTGATGATGCGGCAATACTGTTTGGAGAATTTCGGGTGGCTGCGATGAGCGCTAACACTTGCGCCAACCCCCATTTTCGTTTGTTGTTATGCTCGATGGATTCAATTACAAAGTGGAATCCGCCGGCGACCTGCGAGTTCGCTGCAAAAACATGTATGGGAAGTCCACAGATCGAAGGATGGCTTACATAAGATGCCGAGGGCATTTCAAACTGCTATCTGGCCGAGCCTCTTAGTGCGTTCGCACACAGAAATAAATTATCCCAGATATAATACTGTGCCAGTCAACTTCCTTAAACATTGCAGCTGTAAAGTCGATCACGTCCTTGAAGATAATATAACTGCCTGAGTGGATAAGTCATGTTAAGTTTATCAAGACAGGATTGCCACAAATCGTCGAACAACGAGTATTTATCGTAAGCCGAGCCTTAGAAAAAAGTTCCTCCTGCTCGGCGGTGCAAAGGTTTCCAGAGCTCAACACAAATAGCCTTGATCTGCTCTGGGAATCGTGTCTGTTTAGCCTGCTTTTTCCCATCGGAAGGCAATGAGCTCGAAACTGACTTCTTCGGTGGCTGCGATCTACACGTAACAGTATGGGCAACAGTCTGAGCGTCATTCTTCCCGTTCTTGCTAGCGGCAGCATTGGCCTTCGCAATTTTGACAATAGCAGCAGCCAGATCGTGCTGCTCACTGGCCTCAGCGGCTGCTATCTCAGCGCTGGCCGCATTCAACGCAGCGCGACTCCTCTGGAAGTGATACTATAACACAGCAACAAGTTAGTCATTTACCACCGACAGCAGCCAGACCATGTCTGCATCCTACCTTGGACCGGTTGACCACAAAAACGTACGTGACGCAGAGATGAGCCTCGAACTTCTTTGCTTGTGGGTCCGTTGTGCGGTGGCGATATCCTGGGAATAGCTTAATATCGAACTGTCGTCGCTCCTTCATGACGAAACCCGCGATCTTGGCCTGGTCCTCAATGAACCAGTTGGAATACGGGGGTCGTGTCTTGAGCGTGACATGCGCTTCGCCACGGACTGTCAGCCGGTCCCTTGCACTCTCAAAGAAATTAAGTAGTAGCGCTCGGTTGATGTGCACGCGCTGTTGTCCGCTGTGGGGGAAGTTAAAGACAATGTACTGAAAAAAATCAGGGATGGTCTTCAGTCCCGTGCCGGTCTTCACCTTTTGCGGCAACTCAAACAGCTTGGTGGCATCCACATCATGCAACACAAGCCCGTGTGCCGACCGCACCGCCGCGATGCACTCTTGGGCATTCGGATATTTGCGACGAACTTGGCTTTCCGAGTCGAACGAGGTAGCGATCACGCCTTGGCCTGTGCTGCGGTGCTTGACAAGTCCTCGCGAGAATGAAAAATCGCCGTCTCCCAGCACCAACACAGTATCATCGGCCGCATACAGCTGGGTTGATGTCTCCTGCGTGCCATGTCGTTGGCGTTTTGCACCGCTGTTTCCGCCGGACAGTCGCCGCTTCCGTAAGGTGTTGGACTTGGTCCGTGCCATTCTTGCCACTCAAAAAGTGACCTTAGCAAACAATGTTGCGCGACATAAATCTTAAGTTGCTGCAAGTCAGATAAAACAAGAAGAACTACGGTAGTTCGATTTACCTCGACAGTTATCTTGGGGCTGACTACGTGAACCACACGGACTTAACGTCGTCGTGGCCGAACATTTTCTTGCAGGTAGGACACTTGCGGTTGCGCGACTTGAGGTTGTTCTCGATACATTCCTTGCAGAACATGTGGGAGCACTTGGAGATGAGCACATCCTTGCGTCGGTCTTGGCATACCGAGCAATTCACGAGTTTCTGCAAGTCGCGCAGCTCGAATCGCTCGAGATCTGTGAGCTCGCCAGTAGAGGGTGTTGACTTGGCATGCTGCAGCTTGCGCTCCATTTCGTCGATCTTCTTACGTTGTGTCTCGCATTCTTCACAAGGTTTCTGCTTCTCCTGCTGCAGTTGCTGATGTGACTTTTCCGCAGTCGCACAGATCGTCTTTGCCACTTCTGCATCTCGTAATAATTTGCGCTTTTCAGCATCTGAAGCCTCACGCTCCGTTTCAATGGTCTTGACATACTCCTTCAACTTGTCGAGCTCGATCTCCTTTGCTTGTAAAGATTCCTACATGAATCGAAGAAAAGTCAGCAACAAGTTCAAATGTTTCATAATAATTCACCTCAAAGCGTACCTTGGCTGACTCGATAAATGCTTTCTGGTGCTTGTGTACAGTGCTCAGCGATGAAACCTGCAGCCGCACTGCTGCCAACTCCTCGAAGCAATGCGACTTGGCTTGCTCCTCCCTTGCGAGCAATGTGTGAAGCTTCTTATTGGCGTTGCGCTTCTCCTCGATCTGCTGAATAAATTTCTTTCGGCCGTGACGCAGTGATTCCACATCTTTCGTCACTGTCTCAATTTCCAGCAATAACGCGTCGTTCTCTTCTCTAGTAGCTTCACCGGAAGCCTTCATATCCTTGATTTGAGCACGCAGTCTCTCACTGCACTCGTGGGCTTCCTTTCTTTCTTCCTCGAGCTTCGCCTCCACTCCCGATAAGCGCTTTAACGCGTCAGTCAGCTTTTCGCCAGCACTCTTCCTGCCAGACCACAGCACCTTCGTCAGACCTTCAAAACCAATAACCTTGATGTAAATCTAAGCATCGTACATTTCTGCTTGCTTCAGCGCGTCATATGTCTGCTGCAACTCTAATTTTTCCTTCTCCAATAGAGCCACCTATAAAAAAATTTAGTCAGATGCCGTAGCCGACCAGAGAGAATTACGGTTTACCTTCTTTGTCAGTGTCAAGATTTCATGATTATCTGCCGAGGCTTGAGCTCGATCTGCTCGGCTCCGCTCACGCTCGATTTGTGCCGTCAAGTTGGTGTTTTCGCGCCTAACTGATTGCAGCTCCGACTTCGCTTCGCTTAGCTGTAAATTCGACGCAAAAGATAGAAGCGTTTAGTGGCGAAAACCTCTTATCATCCTGCTCGACTAGCTCCCACCTGATCTCTGTAGGTCGATGCGTTGGAGATTTTTTCTCGTAATGATACGTTCTTCAGGTTTAACTCGTCCATCTGTGCTTTTGTTTTGCTCATTTCTGCCTGGATTTTTGTGATCTTTTTCTCCCACTTCATGGTCATGTGGTGCTCGAGATCCTGGTTCCAGCACATAATTATTAAGTCGGTAAAGCCTGCTTTAATGAGTCAGCCAGCTTCACACAACAGTACCTTTGTCTTGTGGAGAACTTTCTTGTACTCTTCGTCGCCGTGAGCTTTTTCATCGCGAAGTTGTTGGATTTTTTCCTCATGCTCTTGAGCCAGAGCAGCTTCATCATTTTTCCACTGTATAGAAACACAGCAAATTGTTTCTTAGTGAGCAAGGTGACTCTGTCTATTCTGTTGATACTCGAATTACTTACCGCCGTCTCTGAAGCCTTGAGTTTTTCCAGCTCTCGCTTCATGGAATCGACATTATGACGCTCTTGGTACAGTTTCTTACTCAAGATCCCTATGTTTTCTTTCAGAGTAGCAACAACCTTTGCATGCTCCTTCGCTTGCTCCACAAGTGCTTCTTGCTTCACCATCTCAGTACTCGACGATCCTGAAGAAGCTTTCTCACCAGCCTTTTCACCATCTGCAGCTTCCTCCATTTTGACATCACCAACATCACCATTGTCCGTATTTACACCACCCCGTTGTTCCACATATACGCTCAATCTGTCATAGTCTCGACAAGCACGATGTCGCTCCGTTTCTTTCGCTTCCACGTCACGCTCGAGTTCAGCTATTCGCGTTTTAAACTGCGTCACGAAAAAGAAAAATTTAGTCAGCCCCAAATATCCACCAATTCGCAATCGCTACTTCAATACACGCACCGCCTGTAGCTGGCTCTTTAACCCCAGGGTTTCGGCGACTGCTGCTCGTTTTTCTTGCAGAATATGGGCATATTCAATTGGTTTTGTCTTGTCTTGAGATGCGCTGCCAACTGCAGCGAGTAGTTTCTGCAATAACTCCTTCGTTATCTCGCTTTTTTGCTTGAGCTGCTCATACACTTCCTTCTCCAGCTTTGATAAATCATCTGCTTTAATAAATGCGCTGGCGTCAGCATCATCATCTGACGGCAACGACACGTCAGCGTCCGGTTCCTCCTGCTCTGCGTCCTTAGCCACTGTGATGAACCACTCTGGAAGGTTCAGCTTGAGCTCCTCTGTGCGTACGCGGACCTGCCCGAAGCCGTCAATGGCGTCTAGAGCGGCCAGCCAGGCCTCCTTTGAGGCCTCGTCTGGCACAGAGGAGGGATCCACCGTCTTTACTGCAGCGAGCAGCTCGTCCTGTAGCTGGAACCACTGCCTCCTCAGAAAGCGGAATGAAGCACTCGTCACGCCTCGAGAGCGGTACAGCGCCTCGCATTTCTTAGTCAGGTAGGTTATGCGTCTGTTTTTCTCCTTCATGTCGATGTCCAACGCCTTGTTCTTCTCTCTCACGGCCTCAATAGTGTTGGGGTTGGCCTCCGGCGGCGTGTCTTCCTCCAGCTTGATCTTCTTCGGCGCCGACTCGCCGCCGGACATGGTCTCACGCCGCTTCTTGTGGCTCACGCCGTTCTCACGCGCGTGGGCTCCCGTCTCCGCCATGACTTGGCCTTGTCTCGCGCCACCGTCCACTGGGATCTTCGGTCCGTTCCCCTTCCTCCAAGTGAGACCCTTTCTTTAATAGCTAAAACCACGTTTTTACGATAAAAAGGGATTTATTTTTTAAGCTCTTATTCTGCCTAAAATCCGAAAAGACCACGCAATTCCATAAAGGCAAGCGGAAAAATGCTGATAAACATCGCCGCGGCGATGGCGAACAGTAGCAACGTGCGCGATTTGGCCTTGCGGACAATTCTAATCAAACACAGACGACCGAGTAATGTCATCATAAAGCCGAGCGGCATCAAGAACTTGGCCAGATTCAGGTCTAGCTTCCCCCACAGTAAAAAGTCAAAGGACGCCACTGCAGAGCAATACAACAGCATAAGTTCAGCTGCTGGTAATAAGGAAACTCCATGAGTACAGTACTTACTGCCGCTGACAAAGAACACAGCCGTGGCTGACATGGCGGACACTGCTGCTGGGGTGAAGTTAACGCCACGCAGCAAGCTGGATGTCGCACCTTCACCGCCGACGCCGAACGCTCCTGCAATCGCACCAATTCCAAGCAGACGAAGAGGTATCTTCCTGATCGCGTCCGGGGACCACTGGAATGGAGTTTCAATTAGATGGTGGAGACGGGATACAGTGGAGAGGCACGTTGTACCTGCACTTCGTTTGGGGCGAGGATGAATCGTGGATTCTGCTGTCTTTGGTACGTCGCCACAGCGTCTTTCATCTGATAATGCGAGACAACTGAGAGGAAGATGAACGGCAGCATCGAGACGATCAAGAAGAAAAAGGACGTGGGAGGGATGCCGAGTGGACTGGGGAAGTACCTCCCGCCTTGGAGCGCTGTGAGCAGCACCGTGGCAGTAAAGATACCGAAGTTAATCCCCAACTTGCGCCATGAAAGACCACTCTTGTACTGAAAGCTGCCATCATCGTCCTAGTGTTTTCAAAAGACATCCGCAATCAGAATATGTAGGTGTGTGTACGTAAACAAGAAAGTTGGCATGGCTATAGATGCACACCTGGAAGCTCATGGATGGCGCGCCAAGCAACGACATCGTTTCACTGCTGCTGCACCACCGCCAGCCTTCTTCATGTCCAACAGCACGAGCTTTCTTGAAAGCTTTCTTGCCGACGTACACTAGATACACAATCAGCGCGATGGTAAGCAGCCAAGTAGAAAACCACGAGATCATCGATGCTCCAAACGCAGCTCCCACTGCACGCAAAACAATGACAATTAATACAAGAACACGATTCCGGTAAGCCCACAGCATGAACGAACTCAGTAGCATGGGCTGCATTATCAGCATAAAGTCCCAGTTGATCAGCGGGAAGTTTGAGTTAATTGGCTTTTTCCACAGATTCAAAAAGAAGTCGCACACAGCTACACAACGATCATCAAACCCAGCCGCAACACAGCTTTATGAGGATTCCAGATCAATTTAAATAAAACATACACCACTCTACAATTGTCTTACCTCCTCCAAAAACTGTAATGCTCGCCAGAGGGATCGCCTCCTACACGATCATATACGCAGCGTTATAGTGTAAACAGGAGGGTCTCTCTTCTCCGCAGCAAGGTAACGTACATCTGGCCCCAGCTTCAGCACCAATATATAGACAGCATCAAGCACAGCCCCACCGCCAATCTTAGCTCCGGACGAGATGAGCACCACCAACGCAGCCAGCAGGATCCCAAGCAGCTGGTGGGGCTTCTCCACAGAGCGCAACACCCCACGCGGTTCATACTGTTCGCCCTGCGGCGGGAACGTTGGGACGGGGCCAAACTTCACGGGGTTGTCTTCCCCTACTGGTCGTTGAGCTAGTACCAACGCCGCACCGAGCGTTAGCACTGCCAGACCGCGCGCCAAAACTCCTTGCCCTCCCATCGATCGCGTTCTCTTTGTTGAAGCAAGGTGAATCTAAAAGTACAATGGCTTGGGCAATATGATTGGATGTTAATGAATTCAAATAAATCCTGATATCATTCTTTCCTTTTCTCTTAAGATTTTGAAAAAAAAGTAATACACGTAGTGCTTATGTATACTTCGAAGTCATTTTACGCGAGCAACGCTCGTACACTTTGAACACTCATGGCGACGGCGCTAATGAGGACAATCGTGGCCATGGAAAAGATAATCATCGACGGGCAATTATAGTGACGCACGAGCTTGAGCAGACATAAATGACCAATGTACGTGGTAACAAGGCCCATCGGCAGCATGAGTTGTGCCAGATGCAGATCCATCTTTCCCATCGCTGCGTAGTTGAGCGACGACACTGAACGACAGGCGCATACAATTGTTAGTGCATGACAAAAAGTAACGCCAAAATTGGGACTTACTTCCGCTCGAGAAAAGCACGGTGGTGGCGGTCATAGCCGAAGCGGCTGAGGGGTCGACTCCGACCTCAAGCAGAAGCGGACCGTTGATTATACCTCCGCCGATACCGAACATGCCGGAGACCGCTCCAGCCGCGAGCGAGCACATGGGAAAATATCGGATTGACGACGGCGTCCACTTAATTTCGTGCGCTTCGAGCTCGTATCCGCCGCTTTGCTGCTTTTCGTACGTGGCCCCAAGATTTTTCAGCGAAAAGTAGCTGACTCCGATGAGGACGGCGACGGGCAAAGTTACGAGCACTGGATAAAGAGTTGATGACGAATCGATGCCAACCGGACTGTCAAAGTTCTTTCCTCCTCGGAGGACCCTCATCCCGGCGACAACCACGAACAGACTTGCAAGCGTTGCTAGCTTACGCCATGGAATGTTTGCACGGGATACAACCTTTAAATCGGCTTCTCTGTGGGCTTTTAAAGTGTCGGCGGAGGATGAAGCGATACCGAGGAGAGTTGTCGCCTCGGGCGAGACACCGCATTGCCAACGCTCTTTTTGGCGCGCTTTAATGGCCTTCTGAAGGGTGCGTGTACCGGTCACACTGAGCAACAGCACTAACAGCACACACAAAAGCCATGTCGGCATTATCGTATTAAGGAAGGTGCCGCAGGTTGCTCCCACTACATACATATCATCACTGTGTAAACACACACACCCAAATCACCAAGCGTAATTGAAAATGCAACGTACACAAAAGAAGTGGTTGTATGACGAGAATAACATTCCAGTCAATAAGCGGTTGGGTCGAGTTATCACGGGTGCGGCGAAGATTCAAAAAGAGGTTGCCGATTGCTGAGGAACACGCGGTTAACAAACATGAGAACACGGCAATATAGTGGAACACGGCGCTGGAACATACCTCCACCGAGAATCGTGATACTGGAAAGAGGAATTGCGGTCTGTACGGAGAATACATCAAGTCGGGCCAGTTAATATCGCTGTTTGCACAAATGTAGGATGCTGTCGCGCACCTTAGCATCCAACCCGATGATGAGGATATAGATGGGATCCAACACTCCTCCACCTCCGGTGCCTCCTCCGGCGGCGACAAAAATTACGACCGCCGCCAGAGCCAAGCCGAAGACCTCGCGCTGGGCTAGGCCGAGTGACTTGTTGACTTCTGGGATGACGGCTTCTTCCGCGGGCGATATCACGCCCCCTGTTGGCTCGCTACGCAGTGTTTGCGCGTTTACGAGAGTAAACGCCAATAATGCTAGTCGCAATAGCACAAGTGGCGCGGCGGAGCCTGATCGCGTCGGCTGTCCAATTCGCAGCGGCATTTCCATTAATTAGTCAGGAGTTCAAAGCCGAAGTGGCGACCATGAGCGCAGCAACTGCAACGGACATGAATCTCGCTGCTGGGCTAGTCATCGTTGTTGCAGCCAATGATAGAGGAGACCGTTGTCGAGTCATTGCTGTGGAGAGATGCTGCTTGGGGATTGGTATAAAATCGGGCGCGACCTTTCAGCGGACCAATCATGTCGTCGTCTCCGTCTCGCTTCAACTTCCAACACCGGAATAGCCTGTAGGTTACGTGTAAAATCTCTAACCTCCTGCACTACTTAACATGTATTAATAGTTGTGCAACCTGTATTTTGTACAAATCGTACCATACTACTAGTATTACTAGAGCTCATCCAAGCTTCTGCACTACTTTTCTAATAGTACTTTCTGCACAGCTTTAATTATGTTCGAGTACTACATGAACAGAAGAGGTCTCAAAAAATGTATTGGCAGCGATTTTTACTGAAAATAGTGCGGCTAAGTATCGCAATATTCACCACATTTGACACAGAAATACAATATTGCATTTCTGAAGCAGCCCGAAGGGCATCATAATGAGGGTTTTGTGGGTACGACCGCTTGCAAAAACATGTAGCAGCCTACGAAGCATAGGTAGCTCTGTAGTGTACCTAGGGCTGCTTCGGTTAAAACCAAGATCTGCACGTATGATTAAGGCTTATTGAGGCCAGTCCTGTTCGAATCCATCGTGTTCTAAAGCTAAGTATGAGCTCTAGGTTAGTACGGTACACTCGTTGGTCATGCCATCAGCTTTTGCTCGGGGACTCTGCAGCGCAGTAAGCGTATTTAGCAAAAAATGTATTGCACTATTTTCCTCGCATGCATTTTGATATTTGTGTTCAGCTCACAGCTAACTGCACATGAACAGCCCCTACAAAACCAGTATATTTTTCAGTCACTGGTCGAATTTAAAGGGCAAGGATTGATGAATTAGTCTAGGTGACCATCTTTTACTGAACACTGCAAGGGATAGAGGGGCCCGCGCTCTCCTCCAAGTCAGCGCTCGGGAACGAGACGTCCGCAAACGAGAAATTGTCATTCAGCTCCACTGCAAAGCAGACTGCGAGCCGACCGTACTTGGCCGTGTTTGACCACCCGGGAAACTGCGACCGGAGCACGATCGACACGCAATCTCCCAGCTTGATATGGTGCAGCAGGTCCGACGAACTGTTAAAGTACTTGCGGTGGTGGCGGAAGTTTCTGCCAGCACGAAGGTTGGGGCAAAACGGCACGCGAACCGTCTCATTCCTTTCCCCCAATGCGTTCATCGACGTCACCGTCACCTCGCTCCATGAACTTGACTCGCGGTAGGTACCATTGTATTCGCGTCCATCGGTGGCCCAACCCTGGTCCTTGGATACGCAGTCTGCTACCAGCAGCAAGCATTTACCTACGTCCACTCCAGGCGGAATATCTAGCTCCTCGGCAGTGGGCAGCTGCAGTTGTAGGTAATCCTCGTTCATGTCACTACGCCCACGACGGATCTCCGAGGTTTCGGCTTGGAAGGCGAGTAACACGCCGGCGAACTCGAGGATGTTGTTCACCACGTCCACTGGAAACTTGTGCTGCGCTACGACGGACGCGATGTAGAGGATCTCCTCCATCGGGCGCGGCTGAATCATGACTAGCTGCTCTTCCTGTGTGATATGATGCGCCTCGCTGGCGGAGAAGATAGCATCATCCACGAGAAACACACCCTCGTCCATGCCGGGGCTCACCATGATCGTTTTACTGTAAAATGATTCTCTTGCGATGCCTGAAAAAAAAATGAAAAATCTACCAATCAAATTATACTGCAGCTATGCTTCTCTCTTGTAGCTAGATACTAGCTGCATGTCCGTTGTTGTGTAAGCCATTACCCCTAGAATATCTACTATTCTTGTAGAAGAGGGAGTATGGCAAGCTCAAATTTAGTTGCCATCAAATCTCCTTCGTACCACAGAGCGAGTTAGATGCCTTATCAGTGCAAGCAGTGGTAACCTGCACGAGCTGATGCACTCGGTCAAATATCATGAGTAAACATGTTTTCTTGTAGACTACATACACACACGCTAAGGTTGTGCATGTAAACTCTAATGCGGAAGTGCTCTACAGTACAGTACAGAAGAGCACTTCCTCATTACCCTGTCAAAACCAATTGAACACCGAACCGCAGCTTTTAAAGGTCGGAGAAGGATTCTGATTCTCCAGTGTAAGAAACAAGGTGACGATGCTACCACGTCGGGAGAAGGACGCGCGCAAGCCACGCCCTCAGCAGCTCGTGTTCTCCACCAAAAAGGCAGGACGCAAGACCAAGACGCATCAGCAGCAGTCGACCGCGGAGGACACGAAAACATCATTGCGACACAGTCAAGAGCATGAATCTAATGTCTCGCAGGAACGAGCTCGGCACCGCTCGAGTCGCAGTCATAGCCACAGCCGATCCGTGAAGCGCATGCGACCGTCACGAGCTCTTCTGCAGGGTGACCACGCGACGGTGGCGCAGTGCGTGCGGGCGATGGTGGAGAGGAAGACGGACGCTGCGCTGCTTGTAGACAGAAATGGGTTGCTCACAGGAATCCTGACCGACAGAGATGTCGCGGTAAAAGTTGTGGCAGTGGGCAGAGACCCTGGTAGGACGCTAGCGCATGAGGTCATGACCCCCGACCCGTCGTGTGTGTCAGCCAACTCCAGCGCGATCGACGCGCTTAAGAAGATGATTTCCGGACAATTTCGCCACTTACCGGTGACGGACAATGATAAAGGTAAGGAGTGTGTAAGAGGAGTATAGAAGGTAAAGCGTGTATTAACTTTTCCGTGTGTATTCTGCAGTGGTCGGCATCCTGGACATCGCCAAGTGTTTGTATGAAGCTATCACAAAGCTCGAGCATGCGTACCGAGAGTCTTCCGACCGACTGGAGGAAACGGTTAAAAAGGTATTGCTTTATCTTTGTATAGGAATGAAATAAATTTGTGTTTTTAATTGCTGATGTTTCTTATGGGTGTGAATCGTAGCTGCAAGATAGTTTATCAGGGTCCACGGAGGCTAATTTATTCGAGTCCTTGCGGCAAAAGGTAAGTAATAACGTGTAGATGCATATTTCTATGGGCAGAATTGACGTCCTGACGGATGTTAATTTTTGCTTCAGCTGTTTTTGCCAACACTATCGGCAATCCTCATGGAAGGCTCGGAGGTGCCTGTTTTGGGTCCGTCGTCAACAGCGATGGACGCAGCACGCATGATGCTTATACAGAAGACTAGTGCCGTTATGGTTTGCGATGAAGCAGGTCGGACAGTGGGCATTTTCACGTCAAAAGATCTGATGCGGCGTGTGGTCGCTTCGTCGCTGGAACCCAATCAATGCGTGCTGTCGAGCGTGATGACACCCAATCCTCAAACAGCCACATTGGGGACAACGATCTTGGAGACGCTTCATTCAATGCACAACGGCAAGTTTCTGCACGTGCCCGTCTTCGATAATGGTACAAAACTTGTGGGTATAGTAGACGTCCTACAGGTCACGCGTGGCGTCATTCAGCAAATGGGCACGTTTCAGAACGTTAAAAGTGACAGTGTGCAGCCGTTGTGGGATCAATTTCGGAGCAGTTTGAAATACTCAAATGACTCTGCTGAGCACGAAGAAGAAGTCGAGGATGATGACTCGAATGTTGGTGTGGATGACCCCGATGGTGATGGGATTGACATTGCATCATTGGTGGGGCGTCAGTCCTGGAATGATTTTCAGTCGTCAACCGGAACAAGTGCTACAGGCGACCCAGCGTTGCTGGATGAGAACCCTCTTAACGAAGAGGAGCATGCACCTGATGTATTTGTCTACAAACTTGCCGATTGCTACGGTAATAACCATCGATTTACGAGCTCTGCTGAGTCAGTTAAGCAGCTTCTCGTGGATGTCCAGAACCGACTTGGTGACAATACTATTCGCCGAATCCTGTACGTCGACGACGAAGGCGACCACGTACGTTGCTGATGTCTGCACTGTAACTACTTCTAAGCTGACAACCTTTGATTGACATGTGGAATGGATACAGGTGCTGCTTTCCGAGGACTCCGATTTGAAGGATGCTGTGAATCGAGCGCGTACCTGGGGAAATAAATATATCCGCCTGATAGTTCCGCACTATCGGCTCGCTGTGCGTCGAGCGTTGGCACACAATAATGATACCGCGATCGGAATGGTCGTGTATGCTGCTGCCGTAGCTGCTCTAGCCGGCGCGTCGTTTTTTCTCAGTAGACGGAAATGACGTCGTTTATAGTGAGTGAAGGATAGTTTTATTACGTGAAGCAAAACGCAGCTTTGAATAAATATGAGCTGCTCAAAAGAAGGTATACTGGTCAAAATCAAGCTATTGCAATGGCCCCGCAGCAGCTTTCGAAGTAAGCTCTTTTTGGGAGGCTCATTGAGGACGAACGGAATGGATATGGTGTTCAGGAGGTGGTGATACGGGAAACCACTGCTGAAACGTGAATCGCACTGAAGAGTGCCAACAAGACTAACGATTTCCATGAAAAAAACTGCGGGAAGTAGTAGAAGAGCGTCCACAGGCCGTACAGGAAAATGCCTGTGAGAACCAGCAAAGAGTTTTGTGGGTTCAAAACCTTGAGATTCGTTTGGAGTGCTGCTTGCGGGTGGGGCATTGGGGCTGAATGCACGCATTACAACATCATTAGAATCCCCATATGGTTCAACGCGAGATGAAATTTTACGCACGGGCATCGGTAATGACGCAGTGGATCACACCGTTCTCCTCAATGCCGTACTCGCCCATGGAGCGACTGGGTAGTAGTAGCATGCCCATATAAATCAGTCTGATTTTCTTTTCATTTGCGAGCTGGTCCGTGAAAAACTGCAACGTCAAACAGTATCGGATAGCACATCAATGAGAAGAACTAATGCTCTCGATGACGCTAAAAGAAAAAACACCTTGCTGACAAAATCGTCAACTTGCTGTGTAGCCTTGAACCAGGCTGGTCGGATCTCTTCACCCTGGCGCAGTCGAATAGGCAGATAACCCTCGGGGGGCTCGTGCTTTATTGCCTCCTCCTCGTGCTCTGATCCCTCCGATTTCTGTATTAAAGCCCAAAAACATCAAAGGTAAGAGCAAAACCAGCCACACTTCAAACGAATGCAGTCATTGATCCTCACCGCTTCGGGTGTCGTCGCCAGTGGCGCGATGATTCTACGCATCCAACGTTGCAGAATAACAAGCAATTAGTTTCAGTGTCGACCACCAAAACGACAGCTCACACCACGTACTCTGCCTCGTCGTTCACAAGCTCCCATTCGTCGTGCAGAGCAGTAGGAGAAGAAGGAGGCGAAGTTGATGTATTCATCCGGAAGAGAGTGAGGCAAAGACGAAGGTTGAGCGAGAACTTCCGTCTTGACGCTTTTTCTGAAATGGTCGGAACATGGGATGGGATGAAAAAAATGTGTAAACACATAATGTCAAATATGGCAAACTTCAAGGTAGGTCGGAGTATTTTTGTCAATATAATTTAGGTAGCGTAATTTTGTATCGAAGGCACTCTATAGTTTAGTTCGCTGTCATAGCCATGACAGCCTTCCTGGAGCGCACACAGAAACTTCGCCAGCACATTGAGGCGCTGATCCGCCGGGACGCCATCAAACGCTCACTGACAGTGGATGATCATGCTCTTCGACGTCGCGTGGATGACTATTACCTGCCCATGTTCAGCTGGACGACGGAGGTCGTGGAGGCTGCGCAGAAGAAGCAGGGTGACGCCAAACACTGCGTCTGCATCGGCTTGAGCTGCCCGCAGGGCGGTGGCAAGACCACGGCATCCATGTACATGCAGGAGGCACTGGCGCTCATGGGGAAGAAATGCGCTGTTATGTCACTGGACGACGTGTACTGGAAATACGAGCAGCAAGTGGCGCTCGCCAAGGCCAACCCGGGCAATCCACTGCTTCAGGTGAATAGTGTATAAAACGCTTATATCTGTAACGAGGCTGATATTGGGCTCGATGCAGTATCGCGGTAATCCAGGCACGATGGATATCCCGCTCCTGATGGACTTGGTTTATGAGTGCAAGTCGTCAACAGGAGAGATCGCTCTACCACGCTACGATAAGTCTCAACACAATGGCCGTGGTGATCGTGCTCCCCTGTCGGACTGGGATCGCAAACAAGGTGCGGGAACACGTGCGGCGACAATAGCTTGGCGCGTGTTTGATAGTGTAGGCGATATTGCTTACAGGTCCGCTGGACGTTCTGTTGATCGAGGGATGGTGTATGGGCTTCCAAGCGATCGACGATGCTAGCCCCGAGCTAAGGTATGCTTGTGCTGCACTCCATATGTGAGAGTCTAACGGTCTTTGGATAACTCTGCATTAGTGAGCACATGAGGACTGTGAACAAGGAGCTTCTTGCCTTTGACAAATTCTATGAGGTACTGGATGGTTTGGTGGTGATCAAGATCGACAACCTGGACTGGGTATACGAGTACGTCTCTTATTTCCACTCTATAACTATCGTAGCATTGCATCTCTGATCGATCTTCTTCTTTTTTGCTGGGCAGGTGGCGTGAGCAGCCGGAGCAGCTCCTGCGGGAAGCCAAAAAGCCAGCCATGACTACAGATGAAGTGCGCGACTTCGTGGACCGATTCATGCCGGCGTACAAGACGTATCTCAAGGGGTTGTACGCCGAGCCGACGGAATCGACATCACCCTTGGCTAACGTACCGCGGCTCATTTTCTCCATCACTTCGGCGCGTGAACCAGCGGCTAAGCCCGTGGAGTTCAACTTCATATCCGAGGCGCTGAAGGATTAGATTCGACTTCGAGGTTTTGGCAATACAAACGTCCCTACAGTACTGTAGATTGCCGTGTACGTTTGTAACTCCAACCGATACATGTACTACAAAAATGAAACTATGTGGTAATTATCATGTTTATTGTCCGTTGTTCGAAACACTGCGTTTTTTTAGACGTCTCATCTTCATGCGGGCACCATTAAAACCGGTATGAAAATTTCTTGTCTAAAAGACAGTGCCATCACTCTTGATTTTGATCGGCGGGCCACCGTCGGCACGCTTCTCCTTGGCAATAACGCGACCAGCCTTCCAGCTCCCTCCCTCCAGCATCTTGAAGCAATCAGACAAATTCAAGAGCATTAGTTTACCGTGAGCAACACGTAGAAATGGAACAATACCTTGACGAGGGGGAACAAGTCAGCAGTGAAGTTAAGACGTCCAAGAATGACTTTGTGCAACTCGTCCAGAATCGCGACAGTGAGCGCTCGCCACTCGATGATCACTTCAGTGCTCGGGTCAAATTCGTCTGTCAGAATATTAGCAGACTTCGGTACCAACACACCAAAATCCACTAAGAGTCCTCCGTTGCGATATTCTGGTAGTCCTGTTACATACAATGAGGTCAGCAAAATTATACGAGCATATCGCGCCCCAGCACATGTACCAGTCATCAGCTTGAGATCAGTGATCTTAAAGCCAGCATCTTGAAGTGGCTCCATTAGTGAGTAGGTCATCCATTGCGATAGCTTGTGGAAGCTCACGAACTTGCCAGCCTTCTCATGTTCCGGCAAGTATCTACAATTAACACACTTCCAGTCAGCGTCACACCAACTTATTTTTTTTTAATTTTTCACAAATATCCACGCACGACAACTCCCACACATCGCCCATATTCTGACCGTCGATTTGGGTTCGACTCGCAGGCCAAATGTCCTGCAGTCCGTTCAGCACAGCCTTCCACAGATCCGTAACAGACACTTCACCACTCGCATTCTGGTGCTTGGTCAGGTAGTCCACCATATTCCCCGGTCGAATCGATCCATCCGCCCCCGAAAAGAATTCTGGATAATTCGAAATACTCTTTCCCAGGCGCTATAAAAACACACAATAAATCAGCGTCATCCACGTTAAAAGACAATAAAAGCAATCAATACCTTAAGCAGATCCGTCCTTCCAGCACAACCAACCAACGGGTTTGCATCCGTCTGCAATAAAACGCATAAAAATTAGCAAATATATCCAAACCCTAAAATATAGCCATTACCTACCACTTGGAAAGCATCCGAAATGGCTTCATCAGGCAAATTGGCCAGCGCTGTTGCATCCACTCGGTGCGGGTCCTTTTCTGGATCGACAGAGAAGTTTCCAGCTACAAACATGTGAAAGCTGGCAATGCCCAGACCTTCGCTGCGACTGTAAAAATCCTCAGTACCAGGTTCCTTATACTTCCATGTGGGGCCTGCCCCCGCATCCAACAGAACGCTGACAAGAGCCAAGTCCAGCAGACGGCGAGCCTTTTCTAACTTGTCACAATGCCAAGTTGACGTCATCTTCTCCACTCGTTGCGGGTTGCCAGTCTCGAAGTGGCGCCAGCGTGAGTGGAATGGGACATTCGCCTCGTTGGGCGTCGGGTACAATTGACGAATGACGCTAATGACATAGTCAGCTAAAGCTGGGACTTTACTCTCGACTACCGAGAAGTTGGGCAGCTTGTCTTGCTTGCCGAGGTCCAAGACGCGGTGGCAACCCTCGCGGATTGATGGGAGTGAGCGCAGATACGACACTTGGTTGGCAGGGGTCAGAGGCATCGTCTGTGGAAAATAAACGGTTATTGAGGGAAGCTGGGTGCAGTGAAGAAGATTGCACGCACCACTGTGGTCGAAGAGTAAAGCTTGTTTTGTTTTCAAAAGTGAATGTGAATGTTCGCATTCAACATGATCTCTTCTCGCTTAGGTACGCTGGCTCATCCGCATATAGGAACTGAAAGTGCGGGGGAGCTTGAACTTCAACTTAACATGCTATAATCAGGCTAGAAAACCCCGGGGTATCCGGATAACGCTAGAAAAAAAAACATTGACTACACTACCTATACCGGTTTTACTTTGAAGTGTATCTGAAGAAGATATCGTGTGACTTTTCGACATTTGAGATATACGGTACTTGTACCCGTATTAATGTTAATATCACCGAAAACGCGACGCCTTCTCAAGCTCGATGCATTCGTATGCTCCACAATTGTGGCTACTACTTCTTACCGTCCTTTTCGCATTACATGCCGTTAGAGCCGCAACCAAGAATGACGTATGGACAAAGTGTACTCGAAGTATACCGAGATGTTTCACTCGACCTCAGCAAGAACTGCTATGCTTCTCGAGCTCTCGCATTGTTCACGATCCAACCGCACCTGGACAATGCGCTAAGGTAGCTTTGGGAGGGAGGCCATTGCAGTCTGCGAAGGTGGCCTCGCGAGTGGAGATGCTGCGTGCTGTCTCTATTATCCAGCTCTGTTCAGGAGTTCAAGATACCGGCCCCGCACAATGTTGGACTGCGATTTCAGCCCAAATACGACAGCAAGTGCTTGCTACGTCGGTATCATCTAATACCGTAGCGGACTTAGATTCTAAGGCTGCCGCGATTCCTCTTGTCCAAGTTTGTAAAAATGCTCAAGACGATCGTCCAGCGCAGTGTTTACTACTTTGGTTCGAGATCAGTCGAGGCCTTAGCAGGCAAAATGCTCGAGAGGCAATCAAAACTGCGGTTGCATTATGCAAAAGGTTTAGTGGGCAAACGTTCGCTTTGAAGCTGTGTGTGAAGCAGGCTACACCCCATTTAAGAATCGTTATCGGTTCTCAGATCGGCGTGCTACAGCTTTGCCAATTTATTGGAGATGGTAAGAATCTACCTGCTGTCGTTGAGTGCGCCTCTAAACTCGGGAAAAAGCACATTTCGCCCAGTCTTATCGCCCAAGTTTGTAGTGGGGCCTCTGACGTTGCCCAGCCGCATACTTGCTTCGCGTTAGCGCAACAAAAACTCCGATGGATGAGCCAAGAAGTGCAAATGGCTTTATGCACGGGTGCTGTTGCTCATGCAGCAATTGTTCCGGTGAACTGCGCCCTGGAGATGCAGCTAACCGCACGAAGGCTGCTATCTTCCGACCCGGGTATCTTCGTCGCTAATTTGTGCAGCGGTGCTACGAATGCCACAATTGTCACTCGATGCCTGAAACTTGTTCCAACGCATGCTTTCACTGCCAGTCAAATTCTACGCCTTTGTGCAGCTTCCGCAATGGCACCTCAAATCTTTGAAAAGGGTGATGCAGTAAATGAATCACTTTATCCTACCAGGTGTGCTACTCAGGCTCGGTTGCTTCTACAACGATCTAGGTCCGTTTCAATTGGTGCTTCAAGCGACCAAGGCATGTCTGCATCTGCTGCCGCTGTTCAAGTCTGTGAGCAGGCCACGTCGGACGCGCCTAGCAAATGTTTAGCAGTTACGAAGCATGATCGAACACTGCCAACCACGCTTCGGGTGCAGCTTTGCCAGCGAGCCAGCTCCGATTCACCGCAGCAATGTTTTCGTTCGCTTCGTAAATTTATTAATGCGCGGCGTATGGATAACTACGATGCAGTGATGACATGCCAACAAGCCGAATCGATAGGACCCGCAGAATGTGTGGCGGAACTGTTTCACGCGATTGCCTCAGTAACGAGAAAGGTGGTCGCTCAGCTCTGCCATGCAGCAAAAGACGTGGAGCCTGCTCGTTGTTTCGCCGCGTCTCCTACTTTCTACGACGATGAACTGAAAGTGCTTCTTTGCAACCAGGCTGAAAGTGCAGCGCCAGCATTATGTGCGAAATCTGTGGTTACTCGATTTGCACATCAGCCATCTGCAAAAGTATCATTGTGTCGAGGTGCTACCACCGCCGCACCTGCAGCATGTGCAATGGAGGCTCCTTTTGGTATGGATGAAGAGAGCGTAGTTGAGCTATGTCGTTCAGCAAAGAATACGGCGCCTGCACAATGTGCCCAAGAAGTCCTGACGTCTTTGAACGTGCCCTGGCATCGAGTGGCTCAAGTTTGTGCAGGTGCCGCATCAACAACCCCAGGACGTTGCTTGGCGCACTATGTTCGGCATTCTCGTTTGCATTTTCGTGCTCTTGCTGACCATCAAGTTGTAGTGGACTGTCGACATGCTGTGGCACAGCCATCAGCATTAAGGATTACTAAAGCTTCGTACGCTTGTCCTGAACTTCGACCAAAGTGCCCCTTGCAGATTGTGGTGACCGTGCTGGATCAATACGGTGACCCCATTGTCGACAACCGCTACGATGACCATGATGCTGGTGTTGTTTATATGAACGCTGCATTTACCGGGAGCTATGACAAACAGCACGAGTACATGCACAGCGGGTTGCCAGCACTACAAGGATCGACTTATGCCAAGATCGTCAACGGATCAGCGGTCTTCTCGAACCTGATCTTCACTGAAGCCGGGGTATTCACTTTTACGTTTCGTGCTGGAGAAGGTGTTTCGGACGAAGTTGCTCGGGTGGTCGTGCATCCTGATCTCACTGCCGAAGCATTACAGAATCGTTGTGAGAAGCTCTTTACACATTTTCAGTGTAGCGCTGAGTCCGCTCCAACTCCGAAGCGTGACTACCAGCGCAATGACATTCAAATGTTGCTGTTGCCATGTGGGCTTCAGCTCAGTGCAGTCACATGCGGTGAATACTGGATGGAGAATATCGGCGGCCTCGCCTTCAGAGGCTTCTCCGCTACCAAATACGTGGTCTACGTCCTCCCACGCCCATTCTACGACCTTTTCACGCACGTAGCTCACTCATCATTGCTTCATTTGGTCTATGCTAACATTTTCTGTGGTTGTTATGACAGAAGCATGGACATCCCACGAGTGGGCATGAGCGCTTGGGCAGTGTTAGGACTGAAGGAAGGAGAAGCCAGACGCCCGGTTATCCGACGAGCCTATCATCAGCGATCTTTGGAGTGGCATCCAGACAAGTGGCACGCACTGGCGGCTTCGTTGCCTCCGATATGGCAACAGGAGCTTGGTGGAGTCTACGTCTTGATCACGCAGGCGTACGACCAGCTCACTTCCAGCAAAAAATTGGTTAAACCCCATCTTCAATACACAGAGTAATGATTTAGGTTAGAATGGAACCAATCAGACCCTCCAGTTTCGCCGATTGTGAGCTCAATAGGAAGGTACCATGCAAGAGGCGCTGCTAGCGATCCTTCGCGGCGTCCGCAATGGCTCGTTCTACGGCACCAAGGTGCGCGCTCCGCACGGTACGTCCCTTTCTCCTTGTATTTCTGCTCAGTGTCTATAATACCTGTAACCATCCTCATGTTTACTCTCTTTCGACTGCGAAGCGTTAGTGATGATCTTCCTTTTCCAGAAAGGCTCCATTCGCCAGAAGCTCCGTGGCGTCGTGCGTCTCACTTTCGAACACAGCAAGAACCTGGCTCTGTTCGTAGGTGTTTACAAGTCGGTGTTGGTGGTGTTGCGTGCGCATCAAGAGCACGCGCTCGAGCGCCACGTTGGTACGGGTGTGGGCAAACCTGGGGCGCACTGGCACGCGGCCGTGGCCGGCGGTATCGGCGGCTACTTAGTATGGGGCCGCTACTCGAGTGTGAACTTTCAGATCGTCATGTACTTGATGTCGCGAGTGCTCATCAGCCTGGTGCGCATGTTGGCGGCGAAGGGCTACCAGCCGTTCGCTCAGCACCGCTTCAAGCACGTATATCCTCTGCTGGCCACCGTGGTTTGGGCGAGCGTCATGTGGCTCTACGAGAACGAACCGCACTCGCTACACCCATCACTACTAAAGAGCATGCAATTTCTGTATGACGAGTCATGCCGCTGGAAGGACGGCCTCGTGGAGTTTCTTCCGTCGCCAGTCACGACCGCCGTCTTCTTGCTGACATGGCTGCGCTTTTGAAAAATCGACGGCTACTGATCACAGTTTCGTCCCAGCTGCGAAGCGCTTTCCTACAGCAGCGACGAGTCTTCACGCACCCGTCGCACTGCTTGTTCCGGCGGAACTTCCGCCCTCTCTCGCCTCTCTTCGTCAGCTTTAACGCGACCCTAACTTCAAGCAAATTATAGTTGATATTTTGTTGGTGGAGCCTTGCACGATAAAAAAGGGCAACCAACGTGTATTAATTTCGCAAAAGCAAGCATCTTGAAGATGTCTTTCAGTGTGAACGTGGAACAGTGTCAATAAAGCCAGCGTCGAACTCCGTCTCAAAATCTGGCGGTTTGTTATTTCTCTAAAATACGAGATAATGACAGCTCTTTTTTTAAAATAAGCACAGGTACAGTACTATAATTGTGACTGTGACACCATACTGGTAGTGTGTAGTAGCAAACACATGCACCAGAACATGGTGCATGAACAAAAAAAACAATGAGCTACCGCCAACCGTGCGAAATGACATAAGGGAAATGCCAGAATGATCTAAGTGCTCAAACGAGTCCATTCTCCCCGATTACGTTTCAATCATGTTGACATGTAGGGAGGAATACGATTCTGGTATGACTACGCAAATGTACAAGTAGAGGACGCGTCATACAAATCACAAGTCAAGAGGAGCGCATGCGACGCCCTAATAAGGCTCGTTTTTGTGCTCCTGTCACTTGTTTTCCGCAGTCTCCAGTTTTCATCTGCGGTAAATATCGCAGTACAGTAAGCTTTTGTGAGGGCGTGCGGCGCATGGGCGATTTATTCCATTTCTGCTGGAAACCCGAGACACGCCGGTACGACAATTGAAGTGGAACGAGCGTCCTCACCAAGACCATAAACCGATTGGAAGTGAAGGGAAGAGGACAGATTGGCAAAGTTAAATACAGGTTCACAGGAACAGATAGAACAGCAAATGGGGAACGTCTTCAGCACCAGTAGCACGAGCGACACCAGCTCAACTAAGCTTGATCAGTCGCCGCCGCCCTCCGTGAGGAATCCCGATGAGAAACAGAACTCGATGTCAGACACGACGATGTCTTCCTCTCAGGACAGCGACGACAGCAACGATATCATCTCTGGCCAACGCAGGCGAAGAGAGAGCTCCGAGAACTCAGCAAGGTCCCCGGATACGACGTCTATGCAGCACACCAATGGCGCGAAGGGTATGAAGAACCCTGCTACATTGCCACTGTCATTCACGAACGGCGTGCTCACCTGGTTCATGTCTTGCGCAGGCCGCCCTACCAACACAAGCTACGCAGATGACCAGTTGGACTACGACGAGCGTTACTTGATCGAGCAGAAACATCGAGCTTTTTGGGAGCTGGTGCAGCGGATCCTGGAGCTCAACGACGTGGTGCTTATGATTCGCCTGCTGCTCGACTTTTTGCAGGACGATCTCGGTGCGGCAGCGGCTGCAGTCTTCCTGGTCGATCAGAATTCGCAGAATATGTCCCGCATCACGCGTGGCACACCGACTCAGTCCGGTTTGGCCCCGTCTCGAGGACTAGTGGGCGAGGCGTTGAAGTCGCGGGTAGCACAGATTTTAGTACACTTTAGTTCGGAAGAAGGATACGACCCAGATGTGGATTTGACTCAGGAATATCCAGGACAGAAACTATTCTGCGTGCCATTGATGGAGCACGAGTCGGTGTATGCGATCATCGAGGCCACCGCTGCTCAATCTACGCGACGTGTGATGGACGCGCTCCACGTGAAGCTATTGACGTGGCTCGGACCGATTCTGAGCTCGTGTATGCGGAAGTGTATTGAGTTTCACGACGTGCTGCTTTCGGAGCGCACGCAGAAGGCTCTACTGCATATTATTAGCTCGTCGGACACTGAGGATACGGTGTTAAATCTCGTGGACGGTGTGATCGATGGAGCTTGTCATATCACGAAGGCTGAGCGTGTCACGTTGTTCATGGTTGACTGGGAGACAGACGAACTTTGGTCCTTGTCGTCCAGCTACTGCGACGAGACCCTACGAGTTCCTCTCCAAGCGAGCATGTTAGGTCTAGCTGCCACAACGCAGCAGACGCTCAATGTCCGAAACCCAAAGACAGATCGACGTTATAACTGGGTGACAGACGAGCGTAAAGGTGTTGACACGCGCTGCGTACTGTACGTCCCAGTGGGTGTTCAAGAATCTGCACAGAATGCAGAAGGGAGCTCTGCTGGTAGTAGTCGACCCATCGGTGTGCTGGAGATCATTAACAAGGTGGAGGAAGAAGTGCCAGCTGGGATGACTACAGGAAGCTGCCCAGGATTTACTTTTGATGATGAATGTGCTCTGGAAGCGTTCGCATGCGAAGTCGCAGTCATCCTACGTCGACGCAGTAACGAAATTGAGTACATCAAGTTGCTGGCGGACACGCGGGCTGAGCAGGTTCTGGCGAAGCGAGCTCGAAGTCAAGTAAATCTTTTGGAGTGCTACACAAGCTACGCATCTGCATCTCGCGCTCATCCTGAAGCTTGTCTTCGCAATTCGTTCGTATCCAGTGATCGACACGTGGCAGATTGCCCCGAGTGCGCAGCTGCTGCTAAGTTAGAGGCTCGCGGCAAGCGGCCGACTGAAACTTCTCTCGACGTTGCTACGGAAGAGGTGAGCGATCACGTACACCCCGAGGATATTGTAGAGCAACGTATTGGTAAGATGGTTGGAAGCAAGAACTACAATTCTGGACGCTTGGGCTACGAATTTTTGGGGAGCGATGCCAGTATTCCGTCCGGCTTGCTGTTTAGCGCCCCAGCAGGGTCGCGGTTCCCGTCGTGGGATTTTAACGTATTTACCACGGACACGACAGATCTCCCCAAGTTATTGGAAGAGATGTACCTGGATTTCAAGGTGGACGAGGTGCTGAACACGACCAAGCATCGTCTACAGAACTTCATTGTGGCCATGAAAGAACACTACCACCCGAACCCGTTCCACAACTTCCTACATGCCTTCTCTGTCGTCCACGCAGCCTACCTGCTGCTCAGCACAACAGACGCAGGTCAAATGCTTCAGCCGTTGGATATTGCTGCTTGCCTCGTTGCGTCACTTGGTCATGATGTCGATCATCCGGGCCACACAAACGACTTTGAAGTGAAGTCTGGGTCGCAGTTAGCAATGCTTTACAGCGACGAGTCTGTGCTGGAGCACCATCACGCTTATACGACATTCCGCCTGATCTCTAAGGAGAAGAACGCCAATATCCTGCAGAATCTGACCCCTGTTGACTACCGTCACTTCCGCAAAATGGTGATCACGGCGATTCTGGGCACGGATATGGCCAACCACTTTAAGTTCTTGGAGTCGATCGAGAAGGTTCTTCGGCCGGCTAGTCACCACGTTGACACAACTGCGATTTCATCTGCTAAGCGTGATAACTCGAGCACAGCTATTATTGCGGTTAGCAGCGGCGCGTCAGCAAAGGATCAAGGGAAACAAGGACCTGCGATATTGACAGTGTTGCGTGATGCTGTCATGCAGCCAGAAGGGACTACGATAAGTACTCCCCGTGGAACGAGTAATTCCGCACCGAGTAGTTTCTACTCGACTGCTGGTGCGAAGTGTACTCCCGGTCGCACGTCGAGTGGGAGACTGACGAAAGGCGGCTGGGTGTTCAATGGAACTGTCGATGAGAGGATATTCCTGGTGAAGACGCTAGTTCATGCGAGCGATCTGTCGGGTCAAGTGTTCCCGAAGCCTATCGCTTTGAAGTGGAGCAACATGATCTCGAAGGAATTTGCGTACCAGGCACTGATAGAGCAGGCTGAAAACATCTCGATCTCGTACAGAAACATCGATGACCCTCTGAAGATGGTCGAGGGTCAGCTCTTTTTCGCGCAGAAGATCGTGTCACCTCTGTGGGACCTCATGTACATCATGTTCCCTGATATCGACGAGTGCATGTCGAACTTGAAGTCGAATGTTGCGCATTACGAGCAGGAGCTGCAACGTCTTAAGGACGCGCGTTTCGAGGAGGGTGTCAGTGCTGATAGCATGCGTCAAATGCGCGACGAGTTGGAGCGGCAGTATGAGCAAGAGAATAGCCATGAGCAACTCAACAGGAGAACACGTCGTGACTCGATGTGCGGCTGCGAAGACGAGGGTGTGGCAGTGCCAGGACTTGCCAGACATAACCCTGCCAAGTTCAATTCGTTCCGCACTATTCCAGAGGACGACAGTAACAGCAACAGTAATAGCGAGGTCGGAGATGCGGAGACTGCTGTCCGGGCTAGTGTAGTAGCAGCAGCGGAAAAGTCTCGTCAGACGCGCTCAAGGGCAAGCAGCGTTAGCAGTAACAGCAGTAGCGACTTGGAGATAGACGAGCAATCACTCGTCGTGTATGAATAAAATGACTTCTAGTTTAAGTTATTTTGTTATTCAATTCGAGTTTGTTCTGGATAACATACAGAAGTACAGGTGAACTTGGGTCTAAGGCTGTTGGAGCGCAGTGCTTGTGGTAAAAGAGCGATGAGAGCACACCAGATCTCGTCGACACTCGAAGCAGTGCTTCGTTTTACCAACGACATGCTCGGAGCAGAAGTATCCGTCGCAGCGTGAGCATTGAACGGCTTGTGAGAATAGTGCGAAGACGGAGTGGCACTCGCGAGCATTGCAATACCATTCGGGTCGATCGGGAAATTCGAGCAAAGGGCGTGTGGAAATCGGCCGAGTTGGCGGGCGCCCAATATTAGTAGTGTCGGCATCTTGATCTTGTGCAGGATCGGTCGTTGAAGTGGCATCTTCAAACTTTATCTCGAAGCGAGGTGATCCCAGCCACGACATTGCTGGTGAGGCTAGGAACGCTGGCGAGCTTAAAAACTCGAGTGAGGATGTTTCAGACACGCTACGGCTCATCCCCATCACGGCGCTCCCCCCGCGACTGTATGTCGATAAGGAAGTCGAGGTTGACGTGCTAGACCCCCTTGACCGACTGAAGCCTAGCTTTGACGAGTCTAATGCCTCTTCCTCTTCGTTGTTGTTCTCCACACCGTCATCAAAATCGTTAAGCACGGTCAACGTTGGCTCCGACAACCGACGATCCTGGCCTAAACCGGAGTGGGTAACTTTTGGACATTGATGCTTGAAAATACACAGAGCATGTTGCGGTTTACAGCAGAAGCGAAACTCGCAGCGGCCGCAGACTGCCGTCTCGAGTGCCAGCACGTCAAACTTTGTGTTGCAGTACAGACACACCTCTTCTTTCTCTAGTACAAGCCGTGCCGCCGTCGTATCACGTCGCTTCCAGCGATGTGCTAGCTCCAGCGGCGAAAGCTTCCGCATACTGGTCTCCTGCATACGTGCGCCGTGGACAAGCAATAGACGCACCATGTCAGGCTGGTTCCGGATTACACTAAAATGTAGAGGAGTAAGGCCGCTATCGTCCCGGTTGTCAACGTCGGCATTGCACCGTTCGATCGCCAGACACGCCACAGACACACGTCCGTACCAGATCGCGAAGTGAAGAATCTCGTTCGCCAGCACGACACTTGCGGTACTGCTATGGTGACGGCGAACCACATGGTCTTCAAATAACTGGCGCACCAGGGTACCGTTACCTGATCGGATAGCGTCTGCCAGATCCGGTGATAGTGTTCGATGTAGTCCGAAGCCACTAAGTGTTGATGCTGACTCTTCTTCGCCATCCGCTGAGCTACTATCACTGCTAGAAGCGCCAGCGTCACTGCTAGAAGATGCTACAGCTCCAATGGTTCGGATAAAATGATCTCTGGAAACATGCGCAGTAGTATCTTCACGGTGCATTTTGGGATTCGGTCGAAGCGCAAGAGCCTGCAAGATAACCTGGTATGGATCAAGCTCGCGTACGAGAGGCTTGAATTCGCGTAAGAAATCCTCGAACGTCATGCACATGAGCTTGGCCTACAGCAGTTTGAGAATAGCTAGTCCGGCGCGCAAGAAAATGTCTTGTACGCCCACGAAGAATAGATCAAATATGGCGCATGCGAGGTCCGTCTTCGTTGATAGAGAGAAAAGAGTTGTAAACCATTCGATGCCGTACATGGGAATAGCGAAGCCTTGTGCCAGCATGTGAGCATGCAGCTTGGGCAAATCGCGAATGAACATTAGCTCAAAGTGTTGGAGATACTCGTCCAGGAAAGTAGAGCTGCGATGGTAGATCCCCGCAAGATGGCGCTTTTTCAGCATATAGAGGAAGAGTGCGTAGGCGTCTGCTTCCGACAAACCTTCAACGAGGAATAAAGCCGCGATAAAGTTCATGCCCTGACAGTAGCCGTCCTCCGCTTCTGCGATGGCGTTCAGCACTCGGAATAATGCGCTCTGCTGAGCAGCAAGTTGGTGTTGGTGGCTGCGCTCGAAAATGCTGAAGGTGCGAGTGACATCGCGTCCGATAGCGCCCGAGCGCTCGTACTCAGGTGTGGAGATAAGGTAATAGATCTCTCGATGGCGACGCATAAAGTCTTTAGGCAGCATGCGCATATGTGTCCAGGAGATGCCACCCGTGAGTGAGAGCAAAAGCTCCCGCTCCGATTGGTCCGTGAAGTTGAACTGCTTTACCACATTGCGCCAAAACAGCTGGCGCTTCTTTTCAGGAACGACGTCCATTTGCACCTCCCCGGGGCTTTCTGCCTCGCACAGATCACAGTTTGAGTGATGTCGCCGTCTTGCGTTCGGCAGCGGCGTGGAGATAGAAACCAATTCGGCTGGAACCATCGCGACCCGTTGTAGGCGCTGTTCGCGACTGCTCACAAAACGCTTCGTGCTGTCTCTTGCCGATAAGCGGCTTGTTGCACAATGACGACGGTCTCAGCTTTGCTCTCTCGCGCTGAGCTCGGCGCTTTCCAATCCTCTGCGCGGGCAGCGTTCCACGTCCGTTTCTCGCTGCTTCGCTTCAACAGACACTCTCATTTTTTTCGCCAATGAGAAATTCGTAGCTGTGACATTAACGCAGATTGGCTGAAAAGTCGTAGCTTTGTGCATACTGTACGGCCATCAGGACTACAAAGAAAAGATGGCGGCAACAGTGACATCCAAGCCCGCACGCGGCGACGAGGCCGAACCGGCGCGCGAGAAGCTTCCGCTCAAGCCGCAGGTAGTTCGCATCGAAGTTCTGGGAGACGAGAAGGTGGGCAAGACGTCGCTCATCTGCTCGCTAGTGTCGCGTCACTTCAGCGAGAAGGTGCCGAGCGTGTTACTCAACGTGCAGATCCCGGCCGAGGAGAGTGACGAAAATGTCATCATCTCCATCACCGACACTTCCTGTGCGTGATATTCTATTGCAATAGTTTTTATTGTATTCGTCTATTTACTTGATTTGTTGTAATTGCAGCCCGCGTATCCGACTTGATGCGCGTGACGAACGCGGCCAAGCGCAGCGACGCCATCCTACTGGTATATGACTTAACGAGGCCCGAAACCTTTCAGCGGTTGCGACGCTGGCTGGACTTCATTGCCAAGAACAAGGAGATCCCCGTCGTACTGGTTGCTAATAAAGTGGACATCAACGCTGTCACGCCGACCACGGACGGCCCATACGCAAGTCAAGTGCGGCACCTGGTTAACACATATCCCGTAAGTTGTAATTTTATCCTATTGCTGCAGACAGACGGATACCGACTGTGGTTGCTGTAGTTTGTGGTATCGGAGGTGGAATGCTCTGCGAAGAATTTCACGCAGGTGGCACAAGCCTTCTTCTTGGCTCAGAAGGCGGTGTTGTATCCAGTTGCACCACTGTACAACGAGAAGAAGCGGGTAAGGATTAGGAAAACACTGCGAGTGGTTGTGTTGCTTGTTTGTTCTAACGTTTAGTGAGTTTATGTATTGCAGCAATTGCAGCCAAAGTGTCGCAAGGCCATCAAGCGAACATTCCGCTTGTATAATCGTGATCGCAGCGGAATCCTCAGTAGGGAGGAGCTGAATGAGTACCAGTACGATTGCTTTGGAGTGCGTCTTCTCTCTGCGGAGATTGATACGCTGATGGACTATCTTTCGTCAGTGGAACCGTCAGGAGTAGCTCCAGATCGCAGTGGACTTTTTGTAGATGGCTTTATCTATCTGTGGTGGCTGTTTATCGACCGCAACCGACCAGAATCAGGCTGGCAAGTCCTGCGCAGTTTAGGATACAACAACGACTTGCACCTCGAGATTCCGCCCGAGCGTCTTCAGCTGCCGCCGTTCGAAGACGACCAGTCCGCGCAGCTCACCACTCACGCTATCGAGTTCCTAACGAACTTATTTCGTCAATTTGACGCAAATAAGGACAACAATCTTGCCGAGAATGAGATTGAAGACATTTTCTCCATCTGCGAGGACGAAAGTGCGCCATGGACGACGTGCTCAGCCATCTCGTCGCCGTTACTGTACGAAAGAACCCTGGTGGATGGCAAGCCTACGTTGTCGCTAGCAGTATGGCTCGCGTGTTGGGGCTTCGTTGCGCAGGAGAACCCACAAAAGCTGCTTGAAACGCTGTTCTATCTGGGCTACAACGACAAGCTTTTTCCTGCAGTTGAGTTTCTCAAGTACGTAATGCATAGTGAACAGGGGAAACCGACTTGAAACTTCGTCTAACGGCCGATTGTTGGTGTATCGTGCGTGTGCGCAGGAGTCGGAGCTTAACGCGCAAGGTTGCGCGGATTGAGCGACACGTAGTCTCGTGCTACATTTTTGGTTCGCCAGAGTCAGGAAAGGAGCACTTTCTGCAGACTTTTGTTGGCGGAAGAGAGCCAGCGTCAGTAGACGAGGAGCAAATCATTCTTCGTGCCATCGGTGCTGTCCCCGACCGAGACACCACGAAATACTTGTTTGTATGTGTCAAGTAGTCCTAATTGGATGTTGAGCTTGCGAAATATGACCGTGTGTTTTGCTTAATGCACGTTTGCAGATCACAGAGGCGTTGTCAGATGATGAGATTGAGATGAAGGCGGATGTGCTGCTGTTGGTGTTGAACCCTGAGGATGAACTGAGTAAAATATTCGTAGAGGAATTGGACAAGAAGCTACCTCCATCAATTCCGCGTGTGGTGATTAGCTACAAGCCAGAGACTCGAAACGAAGACGTGGAGGTTGCCATTGATGGTGCTGACGAAAGCAGTCCCCTTGTGAAGGAAGATCCTGTCGATTTTGCCATTGATGCGACGCTGAAGCAGTATCCGACGTCTCTGAAGTGCTACGAGGCGCATTGCGTCAAGGATGAGGTCGCCGGCGTCCTCGTGGCTACTGCATTGCGGCCGTAAGTGCTGTTGCATTGCGTATGGTTTTCAATAGGGGCTGGTTTGTTGACTGTTGCGTGTGAATGTTCTACAGACCCAAGAATGCGCGATCCAAGTCGTCAGGCATTTGGCTGCCCGGTCGGAAGACAGGTATGGGCATGATTGGGCTAACTGCTGCGGCTGTCGTTGCGTACGTCGCGAAACCGGAGGAGAGTAAGGCAGTCTTGAGCGACTTGGCGTCCAGAATGCACCTGAAGTAAGCGGAAAGCAAAAGAGTAGTTCAAGCATTGTACTGATCATGTCCCTTGGATTCGAGCGATTGCTCCACTTTTTGTATTAGACTGAGATGAACGTTTGAAGCTATAAAAACCTGTTGTCTTGGCCGTAATCAGAATGCAAATCGGAGCCTAAACACAGCAGCGATCTCCTTAAAAATGCATTGCACATTGCCAAGTTCGGATCCAATTCATTTTTATACAGTACTGCACCGCCCTTGGACCTTTGGTCAGCAAAAACTTCCGGATGTAATGATTCTGAATAGGGGGTTTCAAAGTTGTCATTAATTAGGATTTTTTTTGGTGGAGATGAGCCTCATTTTTGTCGAAAAATGAGGGGGCTTTCAGCTCTGAAACACCACTAAATTGCCACAAAAACCAGATAATTAGCTTGTAACCCGTAACCCCGCGTGAACGAGTCGCAGGGCGTGAACGAGTTGCCGCGCGTGAGAGCGTGAAGGAGTTGCCGCGCGTGAAGGAGTCGCTGCGCGTGAACGAGTCGCAGGGAGTGAGGGCGTGAAGGAGTTGCCGCGCGTGGAGGAGTTGCCGCGCGTGAAGGAGCCGCCGCGCGTGAAGGAGTCGCCGCGCGGTGATGGGTGCTGGTGAGCAGGCCCCAATAGGCAACAGTTCAGTGATACGAACTCAAAGGGGAACTCACGCGCGATGCACCGTAGCCCGGAGCACCAAGCCGAAGTGGCGCAATTCGCGGTCCACACGGGCTCCACAAGATAATTTCTTCCTGGCTGGTGTTGTGTGATTCTGTTGGATTAAGGCTCTACGAAAGATCTTCATGTGGATCTGTGGCTTGCTACAGCGGCGCAATTTGGTCAACAAGTGACAAAGCTTCGTCTTCGGTCTTGCCACGCTGCAGAAGTTGCAGAAGCAACTCCTTGCGCACAGCCGATTGCGCTTCCCTGAACCGAAGCTGGTGCTCATCCCGTCTTTCTTCCTGCTATCTGATGGCGCGGGCTTCGCTGACGCTGCTCCCTGATTTTCCTGAACACCTTAAAGTAAGATGTCCAGCGGCTTTGGCATGTATAAGCATCCCATCGCTCGGTATACTTAGCCGGTATCGGCGAACCTGCATCCGCAAAAGTCTTCAAGCAAGATGTAAACACGTACTCTGCCATTTGACCGAAGCCTGAAATCTTTGTGCGCGCCCCTCCAAAGCCAGCAGAGTGGTCGTCATTTGCCTTGCCCACAATCACATTGAAATTAGCCGGGTTTTTCAGCCATTCCACCATAAACTGCCTCTGCAGTAAGGTGGTGTGGCCACCCTTCTGGCCCTTTTGGCGTGCCATGCTGTACCCTTCGCTTCCCAGCCACCAGATTCGAAAGTAACCAGGTTATATATTTAGCGGCGTACCCCTAAAAATGAGAGCTCAAAATATCAGCTGGAAAAATGCGTCTCGGGAGGCGCATTTTTCGACAAAAATGAGGCTCCGCCAAAAAAATCCTAATTAATGACAACTTTGAAACCCCCTATTAGGATTAATTTTGGCGGAGATGAGCCTCATTTTTGTCAAAAAATGCGCCTCCCGAGACGCATTTTTCCAGCTGATATTTTGAGCTCTCATTTTTAGGGGTACGCCGCTAAATATATAACCTGGTTACTTTCGAATCTGGTGGCTGGGAAGCGAAGGGTACAGCATGGCACGCCAAAAGGGCCAGAAGGGTGGCCACACCATCTTACTGCAGAGGCAGTTTATGGTGGAATGGCTGAAAAACCCGGCTAATTTCAATGTGATTGTGGGCAAGGCAAATGACGACCACTCTGCTGGCTTTGGAGGGGCGCGCACAAAGATTTCAGGCTTCGGTCAAATGGCAGAGTACGTGTGGTGTAGTAGAACACACAAATACCGTCAGATGTGGATTCCTTACACAAACCACAACAATTCGCCGAGTTAGGTCGGCGGTTGTATGGCCTGCGCAGAGGGTGGTCCCCTCGCGGTCCGGCCCTTCCGGGACAGACGAGTGGCTCGCTTCCACTCGGTTCCGACTAACCAAGTCAGATCACTTCCGAGGCTCCGCCGAGTTTGATTCGGCTGAGCTCGTTCACAACCCTGTGCCCTCCACCAAAGGATGGACGACGGCGCGCGAGCGCTTTTACAGGTCACCGAGCGCAGAGGCTGCTCAGCTAGAAGTGTTACGGCACCCGGGCTATCCGACGTACCGGCCCGCTGAGTATGCGGGACTTTCTTTCGCGCGTAGCGAGACTTTGTCCTACCCGGACCGACCTAATCTCTTGGCGCTACCAGTCAATACCCTACAAGCTATGCCTCTCGAGTATTGACGGCAGGCATAATCCAGCCCTATGCAGGGACTTACCGGAAAAGTGTACACGTGTCTTGGACTAGGAAAATTCTGCTCTGTTATCTTCTGGGAGCCCTTTCGGCTCCCCCTATTTAATCCTATGCTTCTCATACAAATATCTAGTGAAATGTAGTCGTTTCGGATCTCTACCGACCCTTCAGCTGAGTTCCGGCGACCGTTGAGCTCAGCGACTATCCGGATAGCATATCCGGACAGATCGCCGAGTACTTACCGTGATCCTTTGCTCCTAAGCTCTGGGTTATCAGACCGAGCTGATTCTTGACCTAAAGTAGGTTGGCGTATGGTCGAATCTGGAAATCCCTACACCACAACTGCCCCGGTTATGATACGAGCCGAGCTGGTGAGTGTCTTAATCCTTCATTTGGTTCTGCCACCGTTGGTCCATACTCGGCTGATGACGTCTCGCGGCTCTCCACCACCTTCTTCGGTACGTTTGTTGCTTCCGCTGTCACTCCCTTGGCAGCTCCTTACTCCTCGCTTGTTACTCCAGCACAACTCGCGGCACCATCATCCTTCTCCAACTCCTCGTCGAGGTGAAGGCGTGCCAGCTGAGTCGATTCCCCGATCCGTCGGTGCTCGTGGGGTCAGCGACCGGCTTGAAGCTAGGTTGGTCGACCTGACAACTTCCCATGAGTCTGATGCGGAGTCGGCGGGGTCTTCTCGCGCGCGCCTTCCTGGTCCACCGAGCTTGCCGGGCGACACCACTTCGGGCGCCACCTTCCAGTCAAGCTCGGCTGCTCCAGTGAGTCTTGACTCCCTCATGGCCAGGGTTAACGAGCAAGGGTACGAGCGCCGAGAAGAATTGACCTTCTTGGCGAGGCTCATGGCCTATGGATTTACTCGTTCCGTGGAGCCTTCCGATCCCGTACAGCGGCGAGCGATCTTGCACGCCGCTTCTGCGGGGGAACTGTTGGACATCTTGAAAGGCAACTACGCCGCTCTTGATTATCCACAGATCATTGGCGATCTCCGAGCTGACAATCAAGCTGTTCAGGAGGAGAACCGCGCACTGACTCGGCGACTGGACTCGCTTGCTCTCAGCAATGTCGACTTGTCAACTCAGCTCTCGTCGGCTCAACAGCAAGTGTCTCGATTGGAGGCTGCTGCCGCGCAGTTGGCTAATCTCCTTGCTTCACTGCGAAAGACTGTAGCTCTTAGTGAGGCAAAACTTGCTCGGGCTATCGCAGCTGAGCAGAGCAAGGTTGACGCTGCGTTGGGTCAAGCCCAGCTCCATCATCAGCAAGTCTTGGATCGAGACGCTGAGATCGACGTCCTTCTCCGATCAATTTCCGAGAGGGATGCGGCGTTTGTCACTCTTCAGGGCATCGCTTCCAAGCACTTCGAGCAGCTGCAGGAGTCGGTGCGGTTGTACAGCTCCACCGGCACTCAACCTTTGCGGCACGCTCAGTCGGTGATCGCTGAGCAGCGGGCTGTAATCTTGCGACAGAAGCGACTCATCCGTCGGAATGGTATTACTCCGATGCACGATCCTCACATGGCTGCTGCTGCTGGCGGTGGCTTGCAGGTTCCTGGACTTGATCCGTCCGACCTTCTCCTCAACGCCCGGCTGTGTCGTGTCATGGAGTCTCGCTTTCTCAACATCCCAGCTGGTGAAACTCGGCGGTTGGAGTTGATTGTCCATCCTCGCCGAGATGCTCCAGTGGCGAGTTCCGTTATCGGTCCTAGTGTGGCTCTCTCAGCTAGTCAAGCGTCTTCGGTGACTTCATTGGCAGACTCGGCTGCGGATCCAGTCAGCTCAGCGGCGGCTACGATCCAGGCTGAGCCGACTCTTGCCCAGCTTCACAGTACGCCTTTGGCGAACTTGACTTCGACTCAGCGGCTTCGACGTTATGCCAACCCCAAGTCTCCCACTGCTGCAGGTCCTCGTCATCGCGCACCGGCGCCGCATCCGCCTCAGCCGTACGCTTGTCCACTTCCCGGTGAGGATGGACACGAGGCTATCAGTGCCCTTTTGCACTCAAGTTCTCCTCAAGCTACTGTGTCCGATGGAGGAAGGCCCCGCTCTGGAAAGTCCCGTCGTCGGACTCGGCTGAAGAAGGTTCGTCACCTTCAGCTGAGCTCTGCTACTCAGCCCGCTGTCTCTGCTCGCTCTGAAGACGACGATGACGCTTCAAGCGAAGCTGAATTCGAGTTTGAGTTTCCGTCTGAGCCGCCCGCCGACACCGTTCCTGCGGTTGCTTCGACGACTTTGGCGGGTTCTTCGTCTTCCGGTCCTCCGGTGACTTCGCCAGTTGCGGCTACTCGCCCACCGCCGGTATCTTCATCCGATGTCGTGGCTTCGTTGCCTGTCCCGACTACGAGCGTTTGTGCCCCAGGCTCGACTTCGCCCATCTCCGCTGGGTTGCCCCAGTCAAGTGCACCGCTCAGCGTCGTGTCAACGGTGGTTGGGCGCATCCAGTCGTCCTCTGGCCGATCTTCTCACGCCTCTTCTTCTCGGGGTCTGAGCGTATCCACTACGCCGACTGACCTAGTGACTCCGGCCGTAAGTGTCCCTAGGCCGTCTCTCCCTGCGGTTCCGGCCGTGTTGATGTC